ACGGTCAACCAACTCGTGATGGCGTCCGTAAAATTTACGAAGGGATGATTTCAACTTCACCATTTGGAACTCTTTGTTTAATAGCTTCCTTGTGAGCAGCAATCCTCTATCAAGGAAATCATGATAGGAAATACAAGCCCGGGAATATCGTATCAATTGGGAGATATATACTCCGTATGCAGGCGCTGCTGGAATGTTGCTACATAGAAATGGAAAGTTCACAATTGGGAAGCTGAAATCATCTCTTTTGTCGTAAAGTTTTGTTTTCAACCGACCCTCATTGTCAATTTCTAGATGTAAGTCAAGATATGAGGCAGACTTAACTGTATCTGTAGTATCCTTTATCTCTAGTTCGATGGGATAGATTCGTTCAACATAGTCACCAAATTTTGTATTATTTAGTGAGAGAACATCATCTATATAACGGAACGTAAAGTTAAAGGATATTGCTAACTTCTTATCCTTCTTCCTAAGAAGTTCCTGTATGAAGTCAGCCTCATAATAATAAAGAAACAAGTCGGCAAGAAGAGGGGCCCAATTGGTTCCCATTGGAATTCCGACAGTCTGTTGAAAAAACACGTCCTCCAAACGTAACAAATATGTTGTCAGACAAGAAATCAAGCATCTTGATAATGTCAATTTCAGTGAATTTTTTGTTTGAAGCAGAGTGATTCTTTATAAAGTAGGATTTATCCCTCCCCAAGACAAGATACTCGTAACTACGTTCGCCATTCTTTTTAATGAAACAAAGTAATACCAACTCTTTCAATTTGTCTTTTAGTTTGGAATGGGGAATACTTGTGTAAAGTGTAGAAAAGTGAAATGTTTTAATACTATTACAAGATTGTATGTTCTCTAAAAGATCTTTGGAATTTTTTAGTATCCACATCTGATTCACGCCACCTCTAGAATAGGCAGTTTCACAATAACTTTGGAGCCCGGCTTTGATTGCTGATAAAAAAGATGTTAATAATTTAGAAAGAGGTTTCGTGGAGCACTTGGAAGACCCAGCAATATACTAGTACCGTTGTTTGTAAGGACACTTATGTAGTTTAGGTATCCGATACAGTGATGGAAGATCCAGTTCTTCATCTTTGGTTGAAATTCCAAAGGAACATAGAACAGACCTATGATTATCCAGGATTTCCTCTTTGGTAAGTGTTGTGAGGGTATATGTTGAGTTTCCAAATGAATTGTCAATACCTAATTCATTTATCAAACAGTTTATGTAATGATATTTACACACAAAAACGATGTTGTTTGGGGCTTTATCTGCGGGGACAACAACATATTTGTCATGGAGGTAGGACAAGTGTTTTGCAACATTTGGGTCTGTAAAAATTGACGTAGCATGGGTATTGATAGACCCATTCAGTTTCTTAATTCGGATTTGTATCAACGACCTCATAGCCTTAATGCATTCGGAAAGAGCATCTACGTCTTCTTTCTCGCGTTTATCCCATTGCCTGGCATAATCGTCGACTGAATCCATCAGTATTTTGAAATTGTATTTCCAATTGATGGATTTAGGCTTACGATATTTCGGACCTATGGATAACAAATTTCGCAGGGAAATGTTATTGACAATGTTGAGGTCTCCGGTAATAACGTGGCCAGCCGGATTATATGTGAATTTGGAAATAGCACAGGTGCAATCAGGAGGTTTAGACTTTAAGTCGTCAATGTTGAGATCCTGCAAAACGTGTTTGTAATTGAAAATTTTAGTTGCAATATTTTTCCATCTAATTAGTAGATTTATTATTTCTAAATAGTAAATATCTAAGGAACTTGAAATGATAGGTAGAATTAGGTTATTAATATTAAAAGGTTACATGTATATGGCCTATTATAAAATGCCATTTCTGTTATTACTCTTTCACCATCAAATTCACGGTTTTGGAATATACAATAAAATTAATGCAAAGTACAAATAAGCCGGTAAAGACGTCTAGTTAAGAAAAAAACACTTTTCATTTGAACTGAAAAAAATATTTTTCCGTTGGAAACTATATAAAGTATTTCTCAAAACAGGATACATGTGAAAGATTATAGTCTAATGAATTTAAATGTCCTTTTGGAAATCAAAATGAATGACCACGTATCGAAATTTGTTTTCAATCTTTCCGGTCATTGTAGTTCTTAAAAGTGACCATTTAATGTTGATTTTATTCCCCGATCATTTTTTTCAAATAAGATAATAAATAAAAGTTTTGTTTTACAAACATGAAATTCAATTTAAATTCACTTCAAGTATTAATTTCTTAAAATTTTTGCCTAAAACATTCGAGAGAGTAAGGTTTTATATAGTAAAATACTTGGCGAGAGCAAGCGAAATCATATTATATTTGTTTCCCCTTAAGACAATTTTAAATGATACCAATTATCGGCATTGGCAAAATACGATGCATGCTTTTAAAGATTTTGTCACTCTAGCAGTATAAATAAAATTGAGCTTCATTACAAGTTCCAACATTGTTTTACGGGAATCTGTTAAAGTAAAAAAATATTTTGGTGCCAGTAGATCGAAACTACTAGAACTACTTTTGTCGGCCTAAACTTTTAAAAGCTCAATTGTGCAAATTACAAAATTCTAAGCGTTAGTCTTTTGTGTTCATTTTTGTTTGATTTTAACTAAATATTTGCGGCTGCTAAATCTCACTTTTCTTGACAAAACGTATTTTGACGCATAAATCATATTGGAATCCGCGAAATGAGACGTTCTTATCTGCCGCATTTTGCCGAGCTAGACACAGCGTCATAGAGCTTTCATGTCACAGTAAAATTGCGTGAACTGATGCGCATAAACAATAGGCGGTTTGGTCTTTAAACGCCTTGTTTATCGTTATGACTGTTCTTTATTAAATAATATGTTTAAATTGGCCCGAATACGCTAAAATCAGCATGACAAATATGGAGTTCAAAAGATCAACTCATATTAATCATACGTTTAATACGGATGTTTGGTCCGATTAATAAGTTTTTCCATACGGACCAGCTGTATCTACTTCCTGTCATACGGACTGGCCATACGGACCAGCTGTATCTACTTCCTGTCATACGGACTGGCCATAATGACCAGCTGTATCTACTTCCTGTCATACTGACTAGCCATACGGACCAGCTGTATCTACTGCCTGTCATACGGACTGGCCATAAGGACCAGCTGTATCTACTTCCTGTCATACGGACTGGCCATACGGACTGAATTAAAGAACTAAGCAAAATGGTTTTCTTTAGTCTTTGAAAAGGTTCTGTGTGCATTCTGCTTGAAACGAATACAAAAACAAGTCTGTCGGTAGGGTTTCACAATTATTTCAAATTGGAATGAGGACTGTAAACACCGTAATCTTATTTTCACGTCTGTATCAATATATCGACTTTTATAATAAACAATTTCTTAACGTTCTGTCTGTATATTAGAATGAACCAAAGTTACAATTACACATGTATCATTTTCGTGTAGCCTAAATTTCATATTTACACCTATCAACTATGTCAAAATACAGCAATTTACTGTTAGCGGTAAATGAAACAACTGACCCACTACTGCTTTCTGGCAAATACATGTAACACAATTCAAATGTTAAAACATGTTAAAGCCAAGTTTCAAAGGACTTCCCAGTTTTATCATCTTTTGGGTTTATGTCGGATCCAAATTTCTCTAATAGTTTACATCTAACAAACTTATTTTTCCTCTTTAATGCAAAAAAAAACCAAAACTGAATTAAGAACCCCTCCCCCCAAAAAAAAAAAATCAAACTAACACTAAATCATTAACAAAACAAATCATTAAGGAAAACTAAGTATTCGGCTCAATCATGGACGAGACACAACTTTCCGAGAATTATTAAGTTATGGATTTAAAAGTAGATATTTTGAATATTTATAAAAATCTTTTTTTTTAAATCATTTTTTATAAAAACTTGCGTATATGAAAGGAGAAATGATAATTTTATTAATCTATAGTAGTTACGATGCAATTAATTCATTAGCGCTTTATTGCATGCTCACGATAATAAAGGAATCCGGTGAAACGACAAAATATCCCCGTTTTCAGTAATTGGTATCTTCATAATTTGTGTTCAAAAGGCTTTTAGGATTAGATTTTTCGCTTAATGAATAAAACATTATGTTTGATGTTTGAACAAAATAAAAAAGAAATATATTTATTTGCAGTTTGAGAATAACAAGTTAAATTGCATATGCTACTCATGGACCGCAATTTTAGGCAAATTTGCTAGATAAAGCTAACGCTAAAATAAAAAAAAAAATAAAACAAAATGCACCATTCGATTTTTTGACGACCAAAATTCAATTCAAGTAAAATTATTTTCAGTCGTACTATAAAGTGAAATCAACCTTTTTTAATAATCGACTTTTCCCTATTCCGTCACCGATTGCGTGTTCTAATATTCCCGTGATTCCCCTAATACACGTAGAACGATAAGTTTTCACATTTTATACAATATTTGTTCTGACAACTTTCCTGTTTTGGTCTGTATAAATTGTTTCAACTGAACTTCAAATCTATAAGTCGTTTTTTAGTGGAAGATTAGGAAGTACTCTGTGTCTCTTTTCTTTTATATAGTTGTTTTCGTGCTACATTTGTATGTGCAAATCTGATGATGAGTTAAGTCCTTTCCGACTGAATTCAACAGGTTTGTATTTATGTTGTGCTGTTACATCACTGTTACTGGAGGGTTGGCATAACATATTTAATTAAATAGTTTTCATTGGTTGCTGTCTGTCATATTTTTTTTATTCGTCCATTGATTTTTGCCAAAATCAGTCGTTGGCTATTATTTTTGTCATGCCGGGTAATTTAAAACTTACCTTATTTTATGTGTTTTTCTCATTGTTGAAGGCGGTAAGGTGACATATACCTGTTTGCATTCTCTTCCATTGGTCTCGGGTTGTAGTTGTCACATTGGTAATCATACAATTCTCATTATTTCTATATAATTAAAATATTTAGAAAAATATAACTTGCACCTAAAAGAATGTTTTCTCTACCTCACTCAGGTAATGTTGATGTCACTCGAAGTTATAGATTATGCGTAAAAGGCCATTGTAGTTCAGATGTCTATTTTGCAACGTGTGTATGAAGTCATAGTATCACCCCAAGTGACATTTCTTTACAAAAGATACAAAATATATAAGTCATTATTAATAGAATTTGCACATTTTTTTAATATTGAATAATTTTAAAATATCTACAAGAAATATAGGAGAGCAATAACAATTACTCACAATACAAATAAAAATTAAAAAAATTCTCTATCCTCTATTTTTTGGCTAAAATTCAAGATTTTGCAAACAAATGATGGTTCCAACAAAAAAATTATTTTTTAAAACTTTCGAGACCATTTTTATTTCAGTTTTGATATATATTATGTTGAATTGTTTCTATTGTGTGTTTCCTATTTACAGATCCAGATCGTATGGATGAGTTTCGTTTATATCTAGGGAACGGAACTGCAGATCAAAGTAGCGATCCAGGTCTGTGCTACTCAGACAAAGGAAAAACAGGCTTACCTAACATTACTCAGAACATAACTTGTAATATGCTAGCCAAAAATATGTATTTCGTCAACAGAAGAAGCAGTGCGAATTGCTATGTGGAATTGTGTTACGTAGCAATTTATGGTAAAGTATTCAAATGTATGCAGAACATTGTTTATGTAAGACTCAATGGTTTTGTGATGAAATTCCAGGGAAGAAGAATTCTCCAACACTTGTGTGTGTGCAAAAATATAAGCGACCCTTTTCTAGTGTAGGAAAACATTTATTTTTAGGGGTTTGTGTAGGATTGTTTGATTGATAAAATGTTAACATCTAATTCATTTAAAAATTGAATGGAATATAATATATGATATATGAATTTATCTGTACATATCAGTACTAAAATAATTTGTTTTGTAGGCTGCTTCAAAGGTACATGGAGCACAAACTGTACGGAACCATGTCCAGCAACATGCATAGGCAATTATTGTTATCCTCAAAACGGTTCTTGTGTCTGGGGGTGTGACAAACATTACTGTTTTAATAACAAATGTGATATTAATACAGGTGCTTGTATTGAAGGATGCATAGCTTTACGAGGTGGACAGTACTGTAACAAATGTAGGTGTTTTCTTCTAATTTCGTTTTAGAAAGCAAGTAGTGGTTACCATTAAAATGAAGATTATAATAAAAGAAAGACAGAATGATAGTTAGCTTTATATAACTCTGAATTTTGAAATGTGTTTTAAATTCTTTAACGGACATATACATCATCTTTCGATTTTAATGTATTGAAGTTGAAAAACAAATTACAATTAAAATATACTTTAAATTGCACAGGTATTTTGATATGTTTTGTTATTGTTTTTGAAGCACTATTTAGTCTTTTGGCTTTTGTTTTGTTTCGTATTGTATTATTTTATTTTTATTTTTTTCAATATTCAATTGTCAAATATTACTGTTTAAAATCAAACATGTTTGAATAAAGCATTTGTGTGCTGATTTCGGTAATGTTAAAACAAAAGCATTTTCTCGACATAAAGTAATATACAGTATTGATAAAATTGTTTATGTCACAGATAATATAGCTTCCAATGGGATATCCACACAAAATCCACCTAATCCAAGTCAACCAGCAAGTTTGGCCATTGATGGAAACCGGACAAATGGTCTGTGCTCAATGACAACTGGATCAGGTTCTTACCTACAGGTCGACACTGGATCTTTGAGTGTTGTAACTACAGTTTATTTCACCTTTGGTGGTAAGAAGTCATTAAGACAGTTGTTTAACACTAAGTAAGCATTACACATGTATATTACTACTGGTCAAGCTGTTGTTCATCTGACAACGGCATTTTAGTTTGTACCCAGAGTTTGAGTACTCATTCATTTAAAGTGATAAATTTTGGATTGTAAATCAACAGTTTAGGACAGACGGCACTATTCGGCAGTCATATTAAATCTGCCCAGGTGTACTGAATGAAGTTAATGAATTAGTTAATTGACTTACCGTCTACATTCCATTCAACTGATAAATTCAAAAACACTTACAGTTAGTTCGGTGATATACTTTCGTTAAATAGTCAAGACATTCTCTAAATACACTGTCGAAATTGACCCAACGGAACTTGCTTTCAAATACAAACAGCAATGCGTGTCCTTTCCTAGATTTAAATATTTTAGTTTTAACAGGGGAAACACAACACATTAAATTACCACTAAAGGGTCGGTTTGTCGTTTTCTTTTGATAATTTTCCTATTTCGGACGATGATGTTCCTTTCTTCCCATTTTACGGTGTTTATATATTCCACTTCGCTCACTATGCCCATGTCTGCAGTGACGTTTTGGATTTCAATGAACGTAATCTTTTTAATATTGGTAAATTGTTTCGTCAAGGATTTCTTTAGCGAAAATATTTGAAAACTTTAACTAAATTCTCTCATTTATTCTCATATTTAATGTGAAAGTTTAACTGTACCCGTAGAAAACTTATTACAAACGGGATAGCACAATCTATTTTTTGCCTTGATGCTGTTTATCGAGCCCGTAAATTTAGTTACGATCTGGGTAAACTTATCGATATATTAAATAAACTTATAATAAACGTTAACCAATTCCACAATGTAATTAGATCTTAAAATATATATATATATTGATCAATTAATTAAAATCAAACTAAATAATCTTGCTATAGACCTTCGTTTTCTAATTATAAGTTTTCTAATTAATTTTTGATCATCATTTTCTTTCATCACAAAAAATAACCTATTACATATTTACATCAATGTTTGTTGAATTTCTAGCATTAGAAGATTTTTCTCAAAATTTGTGATTTGTTAAGACACACTAAGTTTTCACCACATTTCATTTCAAATTCAACTGCACATTTGACAGCAGGAATTTGGAAAGGCATATTAAACCTGAACACTAATTTGTATCTAAAGAGTAGCAAAACATATTTTTCTGTAGATTTGTGAATTTAAAAAAAAGTATGCTATTGTGGTAACCGTTTTGATACCTTCTTGGTACTATAACTATTGTTATAAAGGACAGTGAATCAATATCGTTTCCAAAAGTCTGGTAAAAAGGTGTCCTTTTTTATTTACAAATTGTAACTAATTATTACTTTTTTAATGTGTGTGTTTAGTATTATTACGGCAATTTTTAATTGTAGTAAAACTCATCAAGTGTAATTCACAGGATATGTTAAAGTATTGTATACCTAAAACATCGAAGCAATAGTCCTTTTCATTATAATAAACTTTACAAAAGTTTTATTAACGGTTTCAATAATGCTTTTTGGTGAGCACGATGGCATATGAAAGTTCTTATCTATACTGATATCTATTGTTCAATCGGGAACATATTAATAGTAATTGTTTTTTTTAAACTGAATAATCCGTTAAATATCACATTCAACTGTTCAATGGTTTATATCACGAATTATTCAGATTTAGAAAAAAAAAATTCCCGAAAGAAACAATAGAAATCAATAAAGATTAGCCGAGGAAGTATTACTTTTTCTGATCTTTACAACAGACACAATTTTGGAGTCATTGTGTTCCAATATTGCTGTCAATTGATTGTATTATATTATCAGTCCTGAGTTAGCATATTTACTGATTTATTATGCGGCTATACAAATTAACATAATTAAGTGCACATATGGCAAATTTTGGTTGATGCGGTCAATGTTTTTTTGTTATTCGAGCCAGCCTGAGGAATCAAAACTACTGATTTTTAGTGATGAGTCAACATTTTGAATAAAAAGAGGACATGCTGGCACTCCAAATTGATGCCGACAAAATTTTGTATTCATTGTGTTCCAATATTGCTGCCATTTGTATTATACAATCCATTCTGAGTTTAAAATTTTACTGATTTATTATGCGACTTTATAAATTTTCATAATGAATTGCAATATGGTCAGTTTTGGTTGATGCGGTCAAATTGTTTTGTTATACTAGCCAGCCCGAGATATAAAAATTACTGACTTTTTATGACGAGTCAATATTTTGAATAATCGTAGGACATGCTGGCACTCTCAACTGATGCGGACAAAATTTTGTAGTCATTGTGTTCCAATATTGCTGTCATTTGTATTACACAATCCGTTCCGAGTTAAAAAAAAAAACTGATTTATTATGCGACTATATAAATTTTCATAATAAAGTGCAAATATGGTCAGTTTTGGTTGATGCGTTCAAATATGTTTGATATACGAGCCAGCTTGAGACATCAAAACTACTAATTTTTTTGTGACGAGTCAATATTTTGAATAAAAAGAGGAAATGCTGAATTAGTAGTAATGTGGGCACTCTGAATTAAAGACGACCATAAATATTAGTAACTGTACACCAATATTGCTTTCATTTATCATGATTATTTCATACAATCTATGTACTCTGCGTTATTGCCATTGTTAATCGATTCTTTCTGATACCGTAGTTTTTAAGATTAATGCAACATTTTAAAACAGATCAGAACCTCAACATTTTATATAAAATATAAACGACCTGAAGATTGTCATATTTATTAAAATATATATTGAATGCACGTTAGCAGTGACACCAATATCGTTTTTGATTTGTAAACAAGTAGATCACGGAGAAATTTTTATAACAAGCACATTTGTATGCGTACTTTATTTACAAATGTATTAAATCTGTATTGTTTTTATCAAGAAATAAAGACATTTAAAAATGTTTTATAAATCGATGTAGAGCGGTCCCGAGGTCGCACTTTAACTAAGTGTTGAGCAGACCAGCCAAAAATTAACTTTAGATCAGGTCTGGTTTAATCGGAGTTGTCAAAAGCGAAGTTAACTTATTACAAGATTGGTTTCGAAGTTAACTTTAGTAGCGGACAGTCATAGGACCAAGATCGCTTTTCAAGTTAACTTGATTGTGGTCCTATGACTGGTCGGATCAGTCCTAAATGATGTCGCAGGTTAACTGTGAACAGTCAAAATTACTTGTTAGCAAATTAACTTGTTGTACATGTTAGGACTGAACACATCTCTATATACTGTTGGTTATACGCAAACACAGTTTCTGTTAAAAATAACATTTGTTTTATTTTTTAAGAATTTTCAATTGCACTATACCTCCCTGATCATCATATTCTCTTACATAAGAGTTTACTCGGCATTTGATGTTTTAGCTTTAGTATAACATATAGTGTTTAGATATTGTAAATGACTGTAGAATTGTTGTAAATAACAAAAAGATGAATACACCGATTGTTTCTTGTTTGTGGTGTTTATGACTTCGTTGGCAACGACCGTCCTTCTCAGAAATTGTCATGCTGTATCAAATTTCATTTTATTTTTTTTATTATGCCCAACTTACGATAGTAAAGGGGCATTATGTTTTTCGGTCTGTGCGTCCGTTTGTTTGTCCGTCCGACAGTCCGTTTGTCCGTCTGTCCCGCTTCAGATTACAGTTTTTGGTCAAGGTAGCTTTTGATGAAGTTGAAGTCTAATCAACTTGACACTTAGTACACATGTTTCCTATGATATGATCTTTCTAGTTGTAATGCCAAATTAGAGTTTTGATCCCAATTTCACGGTCCACTGAAGATAGAAAATGATAGTGCGAGCGGGGCATCCGTGTACTATGGACACATTCTTGTTTTTTCTATAACTTTATTCGCCCTTTTGGGACAAAAACTACAGTAGAGAGACGTAAAATGGGTCGAATTTATAAAAATAGGATTTTGTTGTTGTTGGAGAATTGAAGGATTTACAAAACATCATGCAGGCCAATTGTAAATAAAGGACAACAACCCCTAGCAATCTTCCATATTTGGTTACGGAAGTAAAGTGCAGTGTCTATAATGAAACATTGTATGTTGCTTACATGTAGTTAGAAGATTGTACAATGTATGTGTATTTGTCTTTTGGTAATGTGTAAAAAAATAATTAATCTGCCTTGTACATTGTTGTAGTTTACGAGTAAATGTGCATAGATCCATTAATTCCATTTTTCTGCTTAATGTCAATAAAAACTAATCGCGTTTGAAGCTATCCGACGAAAATCTAGGTTAAAACTGTCTTAAACATTGTTTAACCATGGAAGTATTATATTGACAAGAACTCCAACGAAAAATTAGCACATTCACATCCCATTGATTTCTTTAAGAAACTAAAAGGTTCCGACTCAGTTTGTCAAATACGTGATAACTCCTTTGTGGGTATCTGCGATGCGGCCTTTGCCTGTTCTATTTACTGAAGCTGGTCTTATCACGTGATTTGGAATCGAGGGTCTTATCTACCTATCAATGTAAATAAACACGGAAACTCCCGTGGTTATTTGTTAATCGCCACATGAATAACGACACCTGTTTCCTTTCAATACATGAAGACAAATGCTGAAAATTTGTAAAAAATCGGTCCATATTTAACAGAATGACATAGGAAAATTAACTGCATTCGGAAAGAAGGAAAGATTATTTTTTGTTTTGTTAAATATGTTTTAATCTAGGAACTTGGAAATCGGGAAACATCCGGTATTAAAAATTACATGTACCTGAAGTTTGGTGTTTGTGGAAAATAATGTGATGCGCGTATAGTGTGTTAGATGGCGACGGATAGCTGAAATTTAATTTAAAGATTGTAAATTTTTATCGAATGTTACAAGAATATTTATGGTTTTCTCTATCATCTCAATATAGAAAAATGTTAGTAACGTATTCATCGAATTTGTTTTAAAAACTAAAAGAGGTTAATTATTACACGCACGTGAAGACCTCTATATAGCATGTATCAGGTTACGAGACAGATGAATTGTTACACCTTTTATAATTAATCAAAAGTTAAAAACAACCTCCAACTGTCAACCTAGCCCGAGATTGCTCTGACGACTGACAGATTTTTTTTAGGAATGATTGGTTCTTTTTGAATTGGATGAAATAATTTCCAGTGGACTTTCAGTTAACAATTAATCTAAAAATTTGGCAAATTTGGCAATAAACCTCAATTACTGATGCAGATTACAACCGGGTTGTTTTTTAACACAAGGAATTTATTGTTATTCAAGATAATATTAAAATAAGGAGATATGATATGATTGCCCATGCGCTATTTCATAATGCCAAAATATGATATTTTTTCCGATCTAAGACCTTTTTATGATTTTCAAGACTATCATGTATATAACAGTTATGCATGTTTAGCCAATGGCCCTCTCATGAATAAAAAAATCTTACAATTTAAATTGATTGTAACTAAAACTGAAATATTCATGGCTTGCGAGTATTTTTAATCTACAGTTTTTTTTTGTGAAAACAGTCGCGTGGTTTTCGTTTTTGTTTTTGTTTTTTTTTCGTTGTTTTAATGCAGCAAATCTATCTCACTATAAACGTTTGAAGTCGGTTTGTTGGAGTTCCTGTCAATATAAGACATCCATGGTTTAACCAACCATAGTCAGAACTGAACAAAACTTGTCTAGAAAACGATTCGGGAGGTCTAAAGACAGTTTTCCTGACTGTTCCTTACAGTTCCAGACAGATTTAACGAAAGGTTAGAAACATTTCCAACTGTACTTACCAGTGATGACGACTGCCATCATACACACCTGCATACATTGAAGTGGTGGTATATTTCTTATTATCAATTCCCATGGTCCATACCAGAGTTTAATTTCAGTTTAAAGCATTTTTAATTCTTATATCCTTACCACATGTGAACAACACATTGTGGCCAATGCCGAACACATTTTGCACATAACAAAAGGTTAAAAAAACATGTTGTACACTTCACCATATTGTAAATCAGGGCAGAGGATTTGATCGACTTTTTTTTAACTTTATAGAATTAAACGATTTGATTTAACAAACAAAAAGTTGCAATTACCTACTTGTGGTATTGTAATATGCGTTATGTTCTATAAGTAGAAAAAACAATGTGGATCATACGCTTTCCTGTATGTCCACATTACTAACATAATATTCTAGTTGTTTGGTTGTCATAATTGCGAGCTTTACTATACTCTTTTTTTTATCGTGCACAAAGACGCTGTTGTGTAACGAATTTATTCTTGTCAACAATTTTAAACGGAAAAGATATCTAGGATAACAAAACAGTATATAGTTTATGCATATTTCTTACAGATGCACCAGTATCAGCGGGTGAGAATATAGTTTACTGTTCCAATATCAGTGATTCCTGGGTGAATGGCATTGTGTTATATCAAGGTGAACGTCCGACTAAGGATACTGATGTGCTTGCCGTTTGTAGATATATCATATATGTACCACCAGCAGAAAGTGGAGTTGATGTGTGTGAAATAGAAATTGGCGGTAAAGTGCATTTTGTTTTAAATATATAACAATCTACTTCATTTATTAAATGAGTAAATTGTACACAAAAAGTGTTACTAACATATGAGATTATGTCATTTTTGCAGATAAATGCCATATGTATATGGTGCTTTTTCATGCTGACTTCTACATGTTCTACTGTTTCTTATATTCAAAGATCGTTTTTCAGAGGCATTCACAATATTAGAACACTTTAGATCGTAAGAGGGCATATAACAGATAAAACAGTTAAGAATGTTTTCAATCACAGTACAAGCCTCTTAAAGCCGAATATATATATCTTTTATATCATGCATTATCTTGTCGCAAAAAGATGGTTATTACAGTAATCTACCTAGAACAAATACAATTTTATATAATTTCAATTTTTCATGTTATCTACAGGTTGTCCTCTAGGAAGATACGGAGATAACTGTGAAATGTTTTGCCACTGTAACGGACCATGTGACTTAGTTACAGGAAATTGTACATCTGGTTGTTTAGATGGATGGATTGGTTATAGATGTGACATTGGTTAATATATTTGTGGCATTGTAAAATCCTGTCATGCAGCTTTTTTTAAATATATATCCTTTACTCCCATATTAGAGCAAAACGTTTTTTTTTTCTTTTTTTTCTCTCATTTGCACATATTTTGATTGATTTAAGGGGGGCAATACAGTATATGGTGAATAACTGGTGACAGCTAACTTCCAAGCAAACTCATTTTCGACTTAACTGAAAAAACATTGTTGATCGAATAAGCGAAGGCAAAATAGCTACAATACTCATGATGATATGATAAGCCGAAATTGTTCAGCATTTAACAAAATATAAAAGATGTGTTTCTGGTAAAAATGCGTTGACCTAAGGTAAATCAAAACTACGGAAATTCCTTAATGTTCATATTTTCAATCAAACCTTTGGAAAGTTTTCTAGAGAAGCTATTCCTTTACAAGGAATACAGTCAGACTGAATTTAATTTCCTAGAACGAGGTTTTTAACATTGTCGCTATGACTTTCAATTCCTAGCGGGTGCAACGACCAAAACCCCTTGTTCGACGTAGGCTTTGACTTATTCTATGCATTATAGTAATCTCATACTTGATTATCTTTGTTATACATGTTATATTCATTTGAAAAAAATGACTGATGTGATGTATACCACAATTGACTTTATAGCAAGTTTGAATATAAGATCAATTAGTGTTTTTTAAGTCAATGCCTGACTTTATAAGTACATCATTTATATAAAATTTCATATTAAAACACGATACAACTGATCTAGAAAAGATGAGATGTAAATGAAATGAACGATCCTTTCCTATTATTTCATGGTATCTTATTCTTTGTACATGTAACATCTGGTAACTTAAGAAGGGTGTTTGAATATTATTTACAACAACCCATTTGAATCAGAAATCACACATAAATTGTTTATAGTTTTATATATTAAATAACATAGTCCCTTTGCATCGTTTGAACATTTTTTGTTTCCTGATACGCATCTGTATGATATATGTATCATAAACACAATTTGATAAAACATTGATTCTCAGTAAAAGTGACATGTAAGCAATACCGACTAAACCATAGGATATAAAGTGTTCGTGTTTTAAAGAATCATATTGCAGGTTTTTCATTGCTTAAATGACACAATGTTCCGATAACAACACTAAATAAACCATGTTTTTTCTACAGTATGTGCTAATGGAAACTTCGGAAGTGAATGTAGTAGGCATTGTTCTGCAAACTGCTTAAATCAACCATGTAATCATGTATCAGGCGAGTGTACTGGCGGTTGCAATGAAGGATTGGAAGGATACAATTGTACAAAAGGTTTGTTTTATTGACTTGTTGCTTATTATACATAATCGTTTTCTTTTATTTTCCAGTATAAGTAATCCGCATGAATAAATTCAAAATTTCCCCTAAGATGTCTTTATATGTAATACATTGATTTAAAGACGCACTATTCTGGAGATTAATTACTGTGTGTTTAATAACTACTTGTCCACGGTAATGAGCTGACACAGCTACATGTTGGCATCCCGATTTTGGACCTTTTATTTACAAATCGATTTATCACACGTGCGTTTAATACGATAGGAGCATTATATGCAACAGAAAAGCGTCTTTGTGAAAAAACAATTTCAAGGAGAAACTAATTTTGGAGCGGCATGCGGACCAAACATTTGTGGAAGCGGTATTTTTTTTTTTTTATTGAAAAATCAATTTCTCCAAAACAGGAGCGGGAAAATCCAAATAACTATTAATCAAATTGGTGTGGCCTCACAGTACACGCAGTATGCATAATTTACTTAAAGCCCTGTATGCAAAATAAATTCATAATATATGCATATTTGTAATTTAAATTGTTTAGAAGTGCTTATAGTTACTCTTGCAGTCATTTAAACTTTAGCTCTTTGATGAATATTGCTGTTTGGATGTTTTTGTCCTGTCGATAAACCAAAAAAGTGAGCCGTAACACCGTAAAGTTCTTTTGTATGACCGTGGCATAAAAAAAAATAAAAGCTACAGATACAAAAATACCTCAATTAAACTTATAATAGTGTGTTCTTTCCTAAATATGTACTAAATATTCCATATTAACAGAAACAGCGGAATTTTTTTAGCAAATTTAAGGCCTCAGTTGCAAAAAACAGAGAAAAATGCCTAACCCCTTTGTCATATAACAGATATTTTTCCCTGTAAATGCTATGTTTTTATCATTATAAAGGATTTTTGTATGGAAAACAATAACTGTGCTTGGAAGTTATGCAAAAAACAGATGTGAGCAGTCAGTTCTATAAATTTTTAGTGAATTCATACATCAGACTGGTAACTTCATACATACGACTTTTGCAAATATGGCTTTGGTTAAACACTTCTAGTTCATATATTAGCTAAATTATGTCTTTTTTTTTTTTTTTTTGGTTAGATATGATATTGTTGTGACAGGATCTCTAAACTGACCATTTGAGGCAGAAATTGTGAATTCTTATTGATAAATAGGCATACAGTAAGATGTGGACTGGAGACAGAGGCAGGATTGAATACTTTATATATATCTTGAATGATGGAACGATTAACTACTAAACTTTACATTTATAGTATAAAAAGGTCTCTTTTTATAAAAAAAAATTTACAAGACTTAGTATAGATAGTTTCAAACAGATTTTTGACATTTCATGTCGGAAAACATGCACATAGGCTGAGCTGACAAAAATTTAAGTCTTGTTTTCAAATTCTTCAAAAACTGAAACTGGGGTGGGGGTATGAAATGTACTGTAAAAGAAAAGTTAGAGTATATGCAGTGATAAATTTAAGGCTATGATTCTGATAAATAAGCATTGTTGTGAGAAAAAGTGTTTTCAAGATTTTTCTATTTGAATAAATGTTAGTATAGGTTGCACTTTGTTAAAACAGCTGTTTCACAAATCTTTTGGTAAGATATATAATTTTCATAGATATTTTGTTTTTTTTACATACCGGTTCCCAGATAGGATCTCTATGTTTCATAATGTTACCAGTATAAACACAGATGTATAGCGGCGAAAATAAATTTGAGGAAGACCAAAATTGAAGGGAGGGGTAGTACAGAATTTGAGTATAGGTTTAAACTCTTAGAAGTTCGGGGCATAGTTTGACCTTTGAATAAAATAGTAGTGCAACTTTCCATTCTAGGATATCATTTTTTACGAAATTTCATAGTAAAAGTGGGACAGTTTTAGCCGTAAAGGGAGTTCCTATGGGAAATTGCATTGTCTATATTTACAGAAGTGCAACCTATAAACGAAACACATCAGCAAAAATGAAAGAAACAAATACAAAAAATGACCATAGCACAATAACACAATGGTGGGATATAAAGATACCGAGCCACGCCAAACGGATAGTACCAAAAATAGACTAAACAGTAAAGGTTAAAATATACAAAGACAAATAAAAAGAACACTAAAACACGTAATAATGATCATAAACAACATCAGTACCTAGAATTTATACTTAAGGACCACCCTGTATTATTTGCGAAGTTGATACGGAATATTTATCAACAAGGTCTTGGTATCTTCTGTTGAACTTTATTTTTAGAAAAAGGACTTGATGTTTTTGACATAACCCTGATTCATCAACATTCTGCTAGGACACAGGTGACGCTTTATAAAGTCTGAATAGCAGCAACAGTCTCTTGAATACCGAATGAGTTGGAATATGTATATGCCATATGCAGGTGAATTTGTTATATTGCTGCTAAGGTGAGGGGAATTTATTATTTCAAAATAAAAATCGTCTCGTTTGTCGTAGATTCTGGTACTGAGATGACCGCTTATGTCAAATATGGTAATGTTCTGTTAACTGGGAAATCATACTTTTGAGATTATCCCTTATTTAAATGTCTCAACTCTACACTCTCGACTCTCAATCGTCAAAAGTAAACATTTATCTTAAATGTCTATTAATTAATCTCGCGTCTTTGTCAATTGATGAATGAGTGAACGCAGTATTTTCCTTATTCTAAATTATAGGTTTAGAGATATCGGTATACAGGCAGAATTTTTATTACTAGTAGATATTGTTTACATTGTAGAATGTGACATTGGGTATTTTGGTATTAACTGTTCGCAAACCTGTTTCGGATGCATATCAAACCAATGTGACAAAGTTAACGGCGTATGCAGTAATTCGAGTGGATGTAAGTCAGGTTTTGTCAAAGAAAAAAATTGCAATAAAGGTATGTATAAACAGAGTAGTGAGACAAAACTATTGTGAAATTGAAATTTATGTAGCTATAAACAAATCATTAAATGGGCAATGTTTTATTTTAAAAGACAACAATTATCACCACTTTGAAATACGATCATAATTATGTCATGCACAGAGGCTACACATGTATTCCTATTCACGAATGTATAATTAGAAACTTACCAATCATCCGGTTGATTTTAAAATTTATTCAGTTGAAAGAGTTACGACAAATGATCAAATAACAAAAATCGGTGACAATCACAGACTACAACTCGACGTTTATAAACAGACAACACCATGACAAAACAATATAGGACAACACGAACATAAATATTTACAAACAGAAATGACATACTGATATTGAGTAACACGAATTTCAACAAGAGATAAAGCTTGGATGAAATCTTTAATGATTAAATGGATAGATCCAAGTATTATATTCCGAAATATTTATTGCCAAATCAGACACCGCAATATAATCAAACTTGTAATACACATATATATTGTATGAATTTAATGTTTTTGTTATTTGTTATTCCTTGTTACTCGGGGGGTGGAACGGGGATTTTCAGTGAATGGAAGAATAACTTTAATGTGTCAACACATTACAAATTAGATTAATGTTTTTCGTATAACGCATAATTATTTTTTATCTGTAGAATGCGATGATTGGAAATTTGGGAAAGACTGTGCAAAGGACTGTTACTGTCGCACTATACCTTGCAACAAGTTCAATGGTCTTTGTTCTAATGGAGAATGTGCAAAAGGATGGCATGGTGATATATGTGATAAAGGTAAGCTTTAATTCCTTCATGCTGGACGACATGACAAACACTAGAGCGACAAACCTTTCTACTATAAAACAACTTTTCTTCACGAAATATATGGTCAGCTAGTTTCATATAGGTTCAATTACGTTTTATTGTAAAAACAATTCTGTATAAATATGTATTTACATAAAGCCTTTAAATTTCCCAAACGTTGCGTGAACTTTATTTCAAAAACTTTGACAATACCAATAAATTACCGCGTCACAAACATCTATGTTTATCTTTTTTTTTTTTTTTTGTGATTTAGGTTTTGACATACAATGTTTCATTTCAAACAGCATGGCTTGTGTAATTTTTTATTTATAATCAGTTGTATTTGTTAAAACAAATGTATATTTATTTGTATGTCGCCTTGTTAGACAAGGAGGCATAAATCAGACCTAACTGGGTTTATTTACACATTTCCTTCCTTTGTGACAAATAAAAATAATCGAAACATGATTTAATCGTGGATGCCTTTTCATATTGAAAATCTCAGCCGAGAGGTCTAAGTAGTCGAACTACTGTATCATTAGCTTGTCAACTCTGAGGTTGTGAGCTCGAGACAGGTGAACTCGACTCCAATCTAAATTGACTAGGATTTTCAGTTTTCCTACCGAAGGTCGGCGGTTCTCTACGGGCACTCCGGCTTCCTCCAACAATAAAAACTGACTGCCATGAAATAGCACAATAGTGTTGAAAGTGGCGTTAAACACCAATCAATCAATCAATCAATCAATTTTATATTCCATAACTACTGTTCTTTAATTTGGGTCCTGAATGCTCTTTAATTTCATACTTTATTTGACCTTCTAAACTTTATGATTCGAGCGTCACTGATGAGTCTGTTGTAAATGAAACGCGCGTCTGACGTACATCATGTCAATTCTGGAATATATGACGAGTTTACGTTTACTTTAACCTCGTTTCCTGTGCTTTATTTTTTCTTTGTGACGTACCTTACAGTTTCAATGTATATGATAACTGAACATTATCTTAAATCGCCGTATTTAAATTTTAATCAAATAAACTTGTTTTAGTAAATCAATGCTTGTCTACTTGGAATATCAAAAAAGTTTATCCATTGAAATGTCATGGCATTAGGCGAATTCTGGAATTGTGGTAATAAGCACCTTTTAACTACAAATTAAACATTGTTTTTATTCCAATACCAGCATAAGCTTTTGAAATGAACAAAACGGGGCAATGGTTGGTGTAAAAAAAGTAGCGGATTACAATTTGATAATTATATTGTACTCGCTTCCTTAGTAATTCGAGAAATATGACATAAGTTTCCCTGCGAGTACATTAGCATAAATCGTGCTTATCATCTTATGGTGTATTGTTGGTCTTATATGTATGTATTATATATACACATTTGACATAATTGTAGCGGTGCTCTTTCATAGATATAAGGATAGGTCAAGATAGTTTCCGATTGAAGTCCGTATAAAAAGTTGTCTTGTATTTGACATTGCATTACATCTGTTACATCTGCTACACGAATGCTATGCGACCAAGGGACCAATGAGATATCTCTAAGATGTTTTGATTTTGCTACACGGTTATCGAATAGTTTTGTGCTAGAGTTCTACGAATACGTGCAATTTATTATAGACATAGCCCTGGCCTTTTTCATATTTGTTGTATTACCGAAAGGGTTAGACAAAGATACCTCTATAAATTGAATCTTCCTTGTTATAAAACCTACAAATGGGAAACCATTTATTACTATAAATTGCAATTTACAATACGAAATTCGACAAGTGTCATTAGTCAAACGGGAACTAATAAAAGCGAAAAAAAATTTGAGAAATAAAATATAGTTTTTGTTCTAGATTTAAATTAACTAAAAGAACCAAGGCCTTGTTTTTGGATCCCATAAGCTTGTTCAAAACTGATTGGCGGGTTTAAAATTAAAAGTTAAACATGACTCAACGTTGATAAAGAAAACTAAGATTATACGTCTTATTCGAGTTAAAATGATGTAAGTTCGAGTTGAAGGTTGTATTAAACTGTTAAGTTACAATGTACATTTATAATTGACTGTTTTTAATGTTTTCGATGCACATTGCTACATTAATCTTCACCAGAAATTACTGATCTCAAATTGCGATCATTCTTTGTGTGGTATGATTTTTTTTTTTTTGCATTGCCGTTTTGTCAAATTTTGGTAGTCGCATTAACGTCTTTTCTTGAATTTGAGCGTTCTGATTCTGAATACTTTTCAATGAAAAATACTCATTTGTTGCATTTTCCAATTGTTGATTTTCGAAAAGAAGTATCAAAAGATAATTTCTATTAAGCAATAGATTGAAATTTGTGAAATATTTGAACCATTGGAGATGGAAAGTTCTCACTTTTTAAAAGCCTTTGTCTGCTTGAGCTGTCATCGCAAAAGAAGTTTGAGATTTCCCTAGTTTAACCAATTAATAGTTTTGTAGATAATTATCATCACTCCTTTCTTAAAAGAGAGGCGAAAGATACCAAAGGGATATTCAAACACATTAGTCGGGAACAAACAAATGTACATAAAACATAGCACACAATCAAGCATTTCAATATATGCGCCCTACAGTTGATTTGGCCTTTCAAATAACAACATGTAGCATTGTAATGCATCTTTGCGAATCTTTGATCTATGATGTGTGTACAACAACCTTAAATTAGAATATCTTTCAGAATGTGACAATGGTTTTTATGGTTTTAATTGCGAACTGGAGTGTACAACATGCATCAACAAGTCATGCGAAATAATTGAAGGCAATTGTTCATATGGATGTATTGAAAGATACGAAGGAGTTAAGTGCGAAGGTAGGTTGAACTAAAAAATACATGCCTAATTTTGAGGTCAGATGCTACCCTTATTGGCGTTCGGTGTCTCAATATGTCTGTTTATACATGTTTGTTAACTTTAACTAGTGCGTCATGTATACAGTTATGCTGTACTTGGCTTATTGTGACCTTTTCTGGCATCTGATTGTTTCATCCGTCTAGAGCTTCATTAAAATGTATGCTTATCACTATTTTTTGGTTTTTGATATGTAAACGCAACTTTCCTTACAATGTTTGCATTTTTTTTCCGAAATGATAAATTTATGTTTACACTGGTCATAAACGTAATTTCCAGCTAAACGAAAAACGACAAAAAAAGTGATAAGGCCACAAAACACTTCAAAGAAAACAACAGACAGACAGAGCAACATGACTCAAACCAACACCCGGGGTGAAGAGTTCGCAATTCCTGCTCCACTTTGTCGTGTTTATTGTGTTTATTGTGCAAGTTCAATTCCGGTGATAAGTCTTGATGACACAATCGAAGAAAAAAAGAACAGTACGGCGGTTACGACAATTTGAAATTATCCGTGGTCATGTGAGATACATATATTTAAAACGGGCAGTCAACTCGTGATGGGAACTTGAACTTCATCACTTGGAACCCTTGTAAGCAGCAACAATCTTTCGAGGAAATCATGAAAGGAACGCAAGCTTTGGAATATCGTATCAACTGGGAGATATATACTCTGTATGCAGGCACTGCTTCGTATGAAGTATTTTACATGTATCGTTATGTTCTCTCTTCGTTGTAAACACAAAAAAATAGATGCTGCTTTGCTCATGGGTTTTAGCAGTCGTGTAGTTGTTTTATGTAATAAATTGATACCACTATATAATTTCTTATAAACTGTACAATTGAAAACTTCAATGAGTATTTATAATACCAAGCGTTACAAACTGGATTACTTTTATCGATGAATTTGTCCGAGAAAAAAAATTCCTTGATATATTAAAAAAAAATCATTTATATTGTCCTCCATCGAGCGCCGCGAGGGATATAGCAATAGTCTTCGTCCGTTAGACCGACTTTCTGATACACATTTATACCTTGATATCGTTTTCCAATAAGGTGTGATACTTTCAAGATCACTTGTCTGCACCTTCTTTCAGACCGTTTGTCAGAAAAGGTTCATACCAAATAAGATTGTTTGTTATTGTGTGTATTGGACCATTCCTTACCGAGATTTTAATATGGCAATTTTTACTTGAGCCATCGAAGTTTGACCATTCTTTGGAATATTGTATCACAATGACTACTTGTGAACTCAAAGAGCTTTCATACTGGGTAGTTTTCATGATGTGATTGTTTTGATTTGATATAAAATTGAGAATGGAAACGGAGAATGTGTCAAAGAGAAAGCAACTCGACCAAAGAGCAGAAATCATCCCAAGGCCTTCAAGACGCTAACGTTTTGGGACTTTGGCTATTATCGGCATCATGCAGCCTACTCATAACTTAACAATATATTACACAGTTACACAGCGGGTTCGGATTATGGTGGGCACATGTGGTCTATTAAGCATTTGATATCTGAACGTTTGCAGCAACTTTTTAAATATCTATAAGTGATTTGTTCCTTGTATGGCATGTCAGTCAGAAACCGGAATACGAGATCATGATAATAAGCTACTATTCAAATACCATGTACATGTACATACCTATATATGGCAAACGGTATCCATAGAAGTGTATACTGTACAGTTATTCTAAACAAATACCCAATAAAAACAACTATAATGATACTAGATGTAACGATAAACAAAAACAGTTACAACTCATGCATGTATCATAATCATAGCTATAGAGGAAGAAAACAATTCATGCGTTTATCATAATCAGAGCTATCGAGGGGAAAGAAAAATTACCATGAAACAAATACGCTACGTATTGTTCTGATAAAACAATACAGTATACACATATCGAAATACAAAATCTGTCAACTGATGATTCCGCTTAATAATGCTAAATCATTTGTATAAATGTGCCTTAAATGTACATGGAAGAAGTTAAAATCCTTTTATCATCCTTCTGATGTTTTCAGTGTCTGCAGTAGTTATGCCCAACGACAACAGTTCAGGTGCAGCAGTAGGAGGAGGCATAGCCACTGTAATTGTTATTTTAATTGTTGCAGCAATAATAATTTCTATATACAGGTAAGTTTATCTTCAAAATAATAAAGATATTGATCTTTAATCATGTGCCTTAAGGTTAGCAAACATTAATTATGTATCGCTCGATTATACGTTACATTGAGCTGTGTCAAGTGATATATGGAACTAAAACGTAACTTACTATGAAATTGATTGTTGGCTAAATTTGACAATCATATATTCCATTTAATCATACACGTGCAAGTATATGAAATTAGTTTTCAAAAGAAATGCAACAGTTCAATAATTCAGTTGTTCATACATGTATTTAATCGTGCTGTGCCAAGTAGTTATCGATTGTATAAGAAAACCGTTTATCTATTAAAATACACCTGTGATGAAATCTTTTAATCAAACGCTGTATTGTTCATCTTTAGACATCAGGACGTTTCGCCCTTTGAATTATTCAAAGTACACTTTCATAAAACAGTGCTGTATTTTTATAACGTACAGCAAAAACGTTTGTTCCATTTAAAAACATTAGAAAGTAGTGAACATTCAGTGGTGTGCATATTTTAAAGTATCGTTAATATCTTTTGGTGTTCCTAAGTGTTTAAGATTTTATGAACATTATACGGTACTGATTGACAGACTTTTAGGAGATTGAAGAAAATTAAAAGTGTGCAACAGTAAATTTTTTATGGGGAGTTTAGGTTTATATTGTATTTTCGACAGAAATGCGTAGCATACAAGATTTCATTGACTTTTTTTGTTTGATGTCCAGTGGTAAATATTACAGTCATATCGGCTATATACATGACGACGTTAATTTTGAATTGTTTAATGAGACTACAGAGCAGTTTTTCATTAGATTTAAAGAAAATAAAGACGGAATCGAGAACATTTGTAATAATGCGAATTTGTATAAACGTCAAACTCCGATATGATGATCGGTAATAATGAAAACAACAGAGTTGGTACGGAATGTCATTTTTGACACTTTCATGATCAGAATCAGGACTCGATTAAAAAATGGTTTTGTCTGTACAAATGTATGAATACATGTTTGTTTTGTCATGAAGCATTATAAGTGTTCCAGTTGGATAGAGGGAGAATCAATAATCTGTGTTGAAAGTCTATAAATTTTTCCTTCATTACATTTTTTATCATTATTTGTATTCTTTCCTCTATTGATTAGTAGTATATTACATAAAAGTATGACTCGTTGTAACTAGCAAAACCAAAACATGTGGTGATATGCATATACCATTTTGTACTTGTTTAATGTTCTGAAATCACTAAAAACCGAGCACGACCTTATTAGTTCAGTTACTTAGACTCAAGTGTTACATACAAGGAAAATTATTATAGGTATACTAGATAGTTTTTCTTAGATAATTCTACATCCAGTATTTATCAAACGGTAAAACACATTTTCCACCAAAAAAAATATGCACACATGTTGGTTTTTTCCCACAAACACCACTTAAAGACACAAATAAATATTTTTTTTTCATTCCCACTTCAATAAACATGATAAAGACGTGCTTATTATATGAATTATGAAATAAAAATGGATGAACTTAATTTTATAGTGTATATATACATTTTGTATATTGGTCGTCAAAATTCCATTTAGTGGGTACATAGTGAGCTTGATCGTAAAATTCTGCTCTCTGATTAATGGGTACAACACGGGGAAAATGAATACGATTAATCGCAATTTTAGATACTCAAGTTTTGTTTTCAATATTCAAGATTTATAATGTTTTAGCATTGTTTAGCGGAGGTCCAAAAAACTGTCAATTCCTGGGAAATTTTCAGGAATGGACAGTATTTGGACTGTCTCTATAACAAAAGGTCTTACTTTCCACTAATAAAACTATATACATTAATAAACAAACAATCCAACAAATAAAAAAAAAATTGAAGAATATTTTTTCTAATAGTTAGAGACCAAAAACCTTAAGCCGAAGAAAAAAAAAAACTACAAAAAAGAAAAATGGAAAAAGTCAAAAGGACAAAAAAAAACAAAAAAACAAACAAAACCACACAAGACTAGGTACTTAAAACCTTACCAAACCGAAACGATAGGTTGCACACAAGAACTCATCGTAAAGTTGAACGGTTCATATTCCCTAAGTAGTAGACGGCTTTGTTTAGGAAGTAATTGTATTGGGGAGGAATTTAATTTATCGCAGTAAATAAAAAATAACAAAATCTACAAATATATAGCAACTATCATAGAACATCACACAAGGTATAACTATTATTTGAAGTATAAATATATTTGAGAATTTTACAAACTTTTGCATTAAAGGCAAACAGCTACAGTTTGTTTTTGTTAATTGTAGGCGAAGATCTAATCCTAAAAGTGAAAAATATCTCAACAACAAGGACAAGATAACTGGAAGCCACGAAAACATGTATTGTAGTGAGTAAATCATCATATTCGGTTGAAAATTTTAAATCATATACAATGTTCTCTCTCTCTCTCTCTCTCTCTCTCTCTCTCTCTCTCTCTCTCTCTCTCTCTCAATGTATCCATCCATCCATCACTCTTTCACTCCCTCCCTCCCTCCCTTCCTCCATCCATCTATCCATCCATCTATCTATTATTTGTTTTTTTTTTTTTAATTTCAGATCATGAAAATGCACTGCAGACGGAGGATGTATATCTGAATGTAGAACGTGTACACGATTCAGATAATGCAAAACCTTCCGTGTCTGGTAAAATAGAAAGTAAAACAAGTGTAACTGAAGTAAAAGACGAATATCCAGAAGAGTATGATGATGAAGAAGAAGGAAACGTGTATAATAATGTTGAATCTGAACAACAAATTACTAAATACAAAGTACTAATAGCAGACCTTAAAAAAGTTATCAACGAGAAAAGAAAGAATGAAGGTTTCAAGAATGAATATGAAGTCAGTTTAATCATTGCTTTTTTATGTTTATTATAACGAGTTCTACTACCTTGTTCTTATAAATGATGAATGCATAGAAATTTCCTTTTTGAAGATAGAATATTTAGTCAAAATTAACCATAATTGACGTGACGTAAGAAATTTAATCTTTATGTATTGCACAGACACCTTTCTTTTGTTAATAAAAAGAAAAAAAAAACGATAAGGAAAAGCAATATAATTGGCAATGCGACATTTATCCAACAAGGAACAAGGACAGTAACAACTACAAGCCACCTTATGACCTTCTATAATGAATAAAGCCAAGAACCTTTAAATTGTTCTGGATACAAAATTGAACCAATACTAACGAGAAAACTAACGGCCCGATTTTTGCACATGAATTTATATAAAACAATTATTGAAACTGACAGAAACAAACGACAACAACTGAACTACAGACTCCTGAAGAACCACTAGGTTGAGGTGGTTCATTTACGAACTCGTTAAGCAACCTTTCCGTAACACTTATAAGTTAGAAAACTGTTTGCTGACCATGAGTTGTCTTTACTCGTTTTGTTGCCAACTAATGATATATGTCTCACACCTCCTGATATCGATACTCATCTAAAGTCATTTCTTGTTTACATAATACCTATGCTATATTTTTGATATATATTTGTTACTGAAATTAAGTTGTTCAAGTGGATAAATCAAATTGTATACACCAAATTTATTTTAGATCTTACCTAAAGGTCTTGTTCACGCTCATACTGAAGGTTCAAAAGAAGAAAACAAAGTTAAAAATCGATTCCTCTCAACATGGCCATGTATGTATTACTTTTTAGTTATAATTTAAATTAATAATTAACACCAAAGAACAGACGAGCACAAGAACCAATGCAACATTTAAATGTTAGGTAATATACGTTATAATAACTTTATTTTGGGTGCAGCTTCTAGACTGATTGAAAGCAATGTTTCAAATACTTTATCTGCTGAACACGATCCACACAAGGGAATGAGGAGTTAATGACAAAAGTTGCCACTAACGAAAATATAAAGGTTGTGTCTACTTTCAGAACTCTCATAGGTAATTAGTTTTAAATTGATTTGTCAATATAAGAGAGGCGAAAGATACCAAAGGGACATTCAAACTCATAATTCGAAAATAAACTGACAACGCCATGGCTAAAAAAGTAAAAAAAAAAACAGACAAACAAAAGTACACAAAACACAACATAGTAAACTAAACACTGAGCAACACGGACCCCACCAAAAATTGGGGGTGATCTTAATTGCTGCGGAAGAGTAAGCAGATCCTGCTCCACATGTGGCACCCGTCGTGTTGCTGTGTTGTATATTTTAACCGTTCAAATTTCTTTGCTAAAATCTTGGCAAAAATTCAGACAGTTTATACTTGTTTAGACTAAATATTGGATGATTATGCATGATGCAATTTATTTCTTGGACGAATTAAGGTAGCCTTTTCAATAGTCGCCTGGCGCGAAAAGGACGATAACTCAATTTTAGAATTTAATATTTTCGGAGACGGTCAATTTCCGGAATTGCATGCTTTATCATCACGGTTTCTTCTTTGGCCGTCGATGACGACACTATTGCTGCATTCTTTGACAATAAGGTATATTTAACAAGACAGTATTATATCAATGTTATCAATGTATTATCGTGGTATCAATATATGTTAGCAATGTTAGATACCTGAATTAATTGTTATTTTGGCAAGGACAATTCATCACTTCCCCTGAAAACATGATTTTGTACAAGTTCACTTATCGGCATCTCCGGGCGGCAAAGCAGACCAATTTCCTGATAATTTTTACTACGGCATTCTGATTTTTATTAATTGCTACATATTACCGCTTTTTTTTTTAATAATTTTTTATTTATATTATCAACAAATAAGAGTAACATACTAGGTCGAGTTGTCGTTCGTAGTGTATAGTTTGTTCCAAACCAGTGTTTGTTTATTGTCAGGTTGGCAGTTGTTTATTATCAATAAAGTTGTTGCAACTAAAACACATGTATTCTTCAGTGTGTGTGTTTTTTTTTCTAATTAGTAATTGTTTATAAAAACAAATTGTTTCTAAATACATTTGGCAGATAGGATTATCATGTAATTGTTGTTTCCCTTGTTTAAAAAATAGAAATTGCGTGTTTCTATATTTAAAGATTTACATGACACTTATTCAGTACATATTTGTTAAATTGAATAGAAATTGCTATTTTGAATTCATTTGTTAAAGATATTTATTTACGTTCTAAAGTTTAGTATTTGCATCCTTGCTAATCATTTATAACCTTCGTTGAAAGACTTAATCATTTTATATAAATTCTTTGGAAATATAATATCGAATTAAATTGTTTAAAAACATTAAAAGGCCCTATGCAGGGCTGACTAGGCGAAGGCTAGCCATACAAGGTGGTTTTAAACTTCCATCATCATCGATGATTTGTCTGTGGACTGACGTTCAGTCCAACCATGGGAACCTGTGCTCTTCCAAAATCTCCCTATGCGGTTAGTGCATCTGCCTTATGCGTTCTTAAAACGGATAATCATTGCAGTCATGTCGATTACTTTTGGTCTACATGATACAAATTGTACTTAATAAATTATATATTGTTTTCATTTTTTTTTTGTTGGTTTTTTTTGTTGGTTTTTATTTTAATAGCGCTATTACATTAAGCATCAATCAGTCTTTTTATTTATCAGTTCACAAACTAGAACAAGCTGTGGTTCGCATCCCCTGCAGAATTGCTCCATATACATACATGACCCCAACCCCTTTTCTTTTTTGGCTATTAGTAAGGGGGTGACAGGGAACATTGATTCCCAGTTCCCTCCCCAAACTCCTACTTCACTCCGTATTCTGTTCCTCTGCACTCCTATTTTTTCGTCAACATGAATTATCCCAGTTTTATCAACCCTTTCCGCACGGTTAACACCACCCTGACTCCAGCTTTCATCTATCCAATTCCCATTCCCAGCCCTCTCATTCCATAGTTCCCATAATTCTGTTCACCCCTTATCAGTGTCACAATGACTCGCTCCCATTAACAACCCATCATTTGGCCACAAAATATATTATACTACCTGATTTGTTTCCTATATGCAAAAATAAATTCAGTCACTTTTAAAATTTTCTATAGAATAAATTGAAAAAGAATCAGACTTTCATAAACTCAATTGAATTTGAATGTTTCAATGTCTTAAATTGTCATTCTTGCCTATTTATTTGATGGCTCCCTTATTACCCTATAATGAATCTTTAAATCCACAAAGATTACATAGCAAATAAATATTAAGGTTTTTATCAAAGTTTACTTTGCGGTTTCAAAGTGAGGAACTAATTACAAAACATGGGTAAGCAAACTAAATACCTTGAAGATGTTTTAAAAAATAGACTATAGTTGATGAGATAACTCCTCATGTAACAAGATTTATCTCTCCTGTGATTAAAACACATTGAGATTGAGATTGAATTGTCTCCCTTTGATAACAGCTAGTACCAATGCACAATTATTGTTTTTGTGATTTTTTTATTGATTAACAATAGTTAAATAAAAGAAAAAGGATAATACTTTCAATTTCGAGGTCTCACAAAAGCTTTTTTACCTGTTATTCTAATTTTACATTAAAAACCCAAATTTAGATGAAAAGGCTAATTAAGGTAGTATTGAGTTTTTCCTCCAAATGTTTAGGCTGGAACATAATATACTAGTAAAACGTTTAATTGAAGAAAATAATGTGCTTTAAACTTATCATTAGCAACGGATTTGTCAAACATTAGCTTTGTCGGCACTCAAAAAAAGAATAAATAAAAAACGGTCTAAGCCAAGTTTGCGTTACAGGTAACTTGACGTTGGTCGTATGACTGATTGGAGAAGTTAGTAAATCTACACCAAATTGATTAAGAGTAGTCAAAATATATGTTCAACAAATAAACTTGTTATATTTACGACGTCAAACACATTACCGAACACGTAAAATTTAAAACGATTAGATGATATTTATTTCACGTTTTTATTGCCCCGTAACAAAGTTGTCGGGGCCATATAGTTTTACCCTTGTCCGTCATTCTGTCATTCCGGTATTCCGCAACAAACCATTATACGGACTTTTTTTCTAAACGCCTTCAGATATTGGGCTGATTTTTAGTATGTGAGTTAACCATGATGAGTTACAGATCAAGTTCAAGTTTTGTTTCGCTCTGCTAATTTTTGCTGAAATTACGGGCTTCGGACTTTGATAAATTGTTGAAAATCACAGTTATACAGACTTTTTTCTATATGCCTTCAGATTTTTCGCTGATTTTTGATATGTGAGTCTACCATGATGGGTTAAAGATCAAGTTTATGTTTTGTTCCGATATGCTGATTTTCATGTCGTTTCAACACATCTTCAGTACATCCACTTCCTGTTTGCTGATAGTTTGAAATTTAACTACTCATTGATGAAGGAAATTTTTCATCAAACTAGTATTGGTCTTGAGAGCTGGATACTATCCATGCATGTTTGTGTCCACATGTGTTGTTGAAATTGCAGATTTTTCAACTTTTTGAGACGGGGCCATTCGTGTCGTTCCGACACAACTAGTTTTTTATTATCAGGCCATTTGCTGCGGAAGATTCAAACATAAAATGGAAAATGGAAATTGGGAACGTGTCAAAGAGACATAAAAAAAAACATACAAGACTATTGAAGGCCAGAGGCTCCTGACCTAATACAGGCGCAAAAATCAAACAGTTTGTTTTAAAATCTGATAAATCTTTGTATTTACTAGGAAAATGCTTGACATTTTCTTTTAATAATGTAATGAAAATGAAAAAAAAGTATAAATTACCAAACTGCAAGGTAAATTAAAGTCCATGAAAAGTGACAAAAACAAAAGCTCGACTATATAATTCAACAGAACGGAGCGGAATTTATCGACGTTCCATTTGATGCATCGTTGCAGATTTATAAAACAAATAACCGTGCTATTCACAAACTATTATTTATCTATACTATCATACGTTAGTTTTTCTCTTAATATCTTAAATTGGAGGTTAATCATTTTTTTAATGCCCAGGCAGTGTCAATTTCAAATTGTCCCATTTATATCAATACGAATGGTCAACCTACTTGAATAATCATCGGCATACTACATTTTTAGAAAATGTAAATACATACTAGTATACTTAATTGAAAGATGGTGTACCATGCATAAACAAATGCTACTGCAATATCATTTTAATTGCGCATAATAAATGACATTTCAACACTTACAAGGCTAAATTTTGTCAAATAATTTTTGAAGTATTGCATAATTTTTTATTTTGTGCAATTCATATAAAAAATGTCATTCGTAAAATATATAATTATACCAACTCATTTCAGTGAAACAAAAACCGACTGATTTTGCTTTCTCGGCTTTGATTTAACTTTTATGTTAAATTGAATACTGTTAAAATACTGAACTATGCATTTTTCTATGAAACCGTACTTATGATGAATTGACATAAAAAGACAGCGTTTTGCTTCGGTCTTTTAAGGACAAAAAAAGAATAACAAAAACTCCAAGGCAAATTCAAAAAGGGGGAGTCCATAAAAGCTGACAAAATCAAACACTATCAATGAACGGAACAAAATAAAAACAACTGCCATATTCCTCACTTGGTACAAGCATTTTTCGCAGAAAATGGAAGGTTAAACCTAGTTTTATAGCTAGCTTAACCTCCGACTTGTATGCCAGTCATTTATAGTTCCATTATATTGACAACATTGAATGAGTAACCCAAACAGACATAGGTTAATTCAAAAGCAATTTGGATCCAGCAGCCAAAACTGTGTAGACATACACTACCAACATACAACACAACTGACCAAAAATCTAAATAAACATACAAACAAATATAACAAAGACGCCAACAAAAAAAGGTGTAGTAGATAGTAAATTGGAAAATGATTTCAACAAAAAAAAAGTCGTTGGTAGTATTTACCGTATATAGAAAACACTTTATCGATAAAATAAAAATTAGGTAAATATGAATACAAGGGAAAACACAATAGAAACAACACTGTAAAAACCCTTTGTGTCCGAATAGCTCCTAAGGACCCACCTTCACCAGGAATGTCAAAATTCAAAAAGAAGGAAACCCGATGGCTGGAAGCATTAATACCAAGCAACGTCAAAAGTCATACGACCAAACGAAACATAATAGCCTAAAGACAAATAACGGGGAAACTAAAGTAAGATAAACAATACACGGCAATGAGCTGACACAACTGCTTGTTGGCATCCCGATTTTTGACTTTTGTTTGCAAATCGAGTTATCACATGTGCGTTTGAAACGATCGATCATTATATGCAATAGAAAAGCGTCTATGTGAAAAAAGAATCAAAAAGAAAATAATTTTGGATCGGTCATGCGGACCTCTTATTTGCGGAAGCGGTAACTTTTTTTTTCATTACAAAGTCAGTTTCTGCAAAATAGGAGGGGGAAATTTCAAGAACTAGGAACCAAACTGGTGTGACCTAGATACTAGGGTTGAAATTTTGTAAGCCAGACGCGCGTTTTGTCTTCCATAACCTCATCAGCGGCGCTCGAATCAGAAAAGGCAATAAGGACAAATAAAGTTCTAAGTTATAGAGCATTTAGGACCCCAAATTCCTAAAATGATTGCTAAATACAGATAAGGTAATCTATTCCTGGGATAGAAAATCCTAAGTATTATGAAAGATTCAATTTTTTGTAAACAGTTAATTTATGATTATGACCATATCATAATATATAGGTAGAAACTTTAGAAAACAAAAACTACCAATAAGACAAGATCTACAATTAATTCAACATGGCATACATCGTCAATCGAATCCTAACCGTAGTTCCCGCTGTTCAATGACGATGTTTACCAATATTCAGCAAGACAAGATCTACATATGAGTCTAATGGTACCTAAATCATTACTATACTCTTCATAGGAGTGATTTTTTTTTAAATCAACAAAATGGAATTTTTTGTCATCAGTTTGTTTCACGTGTTTTATTCTCCAATGTTGGAGAGCTTCTTTTGTTGATGTTGCACATATTCATTTTTGAGCGATACATGCTCTTTAGAGCCTCTCGTTTACTTACGTAACTGAATATTTTTCCTGTGCATATAAAGAAGTGAGGTCTTGCTGCCAAATTTCCAATTTTCTCTTGTATGATTCTGGCTGATTATGAGGTGTTTTGCGTTTGAATGTTGATTTATTTTCTTTTGCATTTTGTTTTCTATCGTTCGACAACGCAGTTTTGATAATGACATTACGTTATATCAATATTGTTTCCTTTCAATATTTATATGCCTTGCATTGGACATACATAATACATATCTAGGTATATGCTTTCTATAGCATTAAGTGATGCACTGCTGATAATGATAAGTATTTGTACTATGTAACATATTCTTAAATATACCAGTTTTAATATGAAACATGTACTAAACGTAACAGTAAACGTATATGGATATATTGTACTATATTATGTTCTTGTAGATGACCATTCAAGGGTTGTGTTGACAGGAGATACCAAGCATGACTACATAAAAGCTAGTTACATTGATGTAAGATAATTGAACAATTCTAGATTTTTAACAGTGTCAGGTTCCACCATCTGGTTAAGTAATCATTGCGTCTACCAAATAAAGTACAACATCAAAACGTTACGGCAAAAACCAAATATTAAGAAAACGTCGTTAGAAACAATATCAACGTTGTCAGATCCTCATAAGTGAATAATAGTTAAAGAGTCTATTATTAAATCACATTGTTTTATATCGGCAAAATGTTCAAACACCACTTTGCAGTAGTATCCAAACTTAAGATTTTTGGCTATGATTTACACTTCTATTCCCCATGTTCAAACGAAAGATCGAATACCACTCACATCGTCTCATTAAACAGAGCTTTTCTTTAAAACAAATTTGGCATTGTAGATACACATTTCATGTTTTAGGTCATGCAAACTCTTACTTTGTGAAATACACAAACACCTAAGATGCTGGACTTTTTGATCGACAACATGTTTTATACCCCCGCAAACAAAGTTTGGTGGGTATATAGGAATCACCATGTCCGTCTGTCAGCCAGTCCGTCCCATCGGGTATGCAGTAGCATCATGGGCTGAGAATGTGTCATATATACCAAAGTCAGGTCACTTTACACTGACTTTGACCTGTGACCCATATGATAGTAAAACCTTGTCCAATTCGTGTCCGGTACATAACTTTTGTACCGTAAAACTTAGAATAATCAAACTTAGTATACAGTTGTATCATGGGCTGGGGATGTGTCACCTACTACATTCAGATCACTTTGACCCCTATGATAGTAAAACCTTATCCAATTCATGATTCGTGACTGGCTCATATCTATTATACCGTTAAACTTAGGTTTACCAAACTTGGTATACAGTTGCATTAATGCCTTGTGGTGTGTCATACACAAACGTCAAATCACTCTGACCTTGATCTTAACCTTTGATTCCTATGATAGTAAAACCTTAATCAATTCGTGTTGAGCTCGTATCTTTTGTACCGTTAAACTTAAGTAAACCAAACTAGGTTTGCAGTTGCATCATGAGCTTGTGGTGGTGTGATATAATAATAATAAAGTCGGGCCATTCTGACCTTTGCTATGCTGACAGCTCTATTTTGAGTTTGGTTATTTGTTATTTCAATAGCGAGTCAATATTTGAATTGGTACTCATTGTGCACCACTACTGGCCAACTTAGTTTTTTTTTAATCATATGAAGCAGAATTCACCCCAAAACTTCCCAGAAATAAAAAAAAAAACGTCTTGCAAAGTACTTTAATTTCACTTTCAAATATGTTGATAATGCCCAGTCACACAATATCAAATACTTCAGCGAGTGCTTGTATCGAACATGTCGAACATATCAAATATAACTTGAGATTAAGGATACTACCGCAACTAGAACAAAAAAATAAGAAGATGTGGTATGATTGCAAATGAGACAACTCTCCACAAGCGACCAAATTACGTAGAAATTAACAACTAAAGGTTACCGTACGGCCTTCATCAATGAGCAAAGCTCATACCGCATAGTCAGCTAGAATGGCTGCTTCATACATGTATCTTAATTTTTTCATCGGTATTAACACAGAAAGACGACTTCAAATTAGAATCAAATCATGATTTGTTTGAACGATAACGTATTTGAGTCTCAAATCACTAGTGAGATAATTTTGCAGTCTTATATAGTAGATATCAGAGCAGTCTCATCGGTAATTTTACCAATTGCGTCCTATTTTCAATTGTGACATTTTTTACTGATTGTGACAGGTGGTTGATGCTACCATATCAGGAGACACTTACCCAGTCGAAACACCTGGTTACATTCCTTTTAGAGTTCAAACGATTTATTCATTGGTGTGTGTAACCTTGATTTGTCATCTTTTATGGTATTTGAAGATTGGAAAATTACTGTTGCCCTAATTATTTACCCCCAGTTTTTGGGTGGGCTCGTATTGCTCAGTCTTTAGTTTTCTATATTGTGTTTTGTATACTGCTGCTTGACGGTTGGTCTCTTTCTTTTTTTAGCCATGACGTTGTCAGTTTATTTTCGACTTATGAGTTTAAATGTCCCTTTGGTATCTTTCGCATCTCTTTTACAACCATGTTTAAAAGTAATTTTTAATATATTAAAGTAAATAAGTGTAATCAATAACAAATAATATTTTGTATTTATGGTTATAACAATATCCAGTCTATTTTATTTCAGAGTTATGACAAAGAAAAGGCATACATAGCCGCACAAGGTTTGTAAAATTATAGAAGTTCTAGAATTATTGAAATCTATTTCTTTGTACTTTTAGCAGGTTTCTATAATTATCACGAGGATGTCACCGTCCAAAAAGCCAGTTTTCTGGAAACCTTAACGCAGTACAACATACTTGTAAACGAATCTGTTATCATTATTTATTTTTTATAGTTGGGAGGAGTGGTGATGGGTGTATATAAGGAACAGATTAATACATAAAACTACTACAGAATGCAAGTCATGCTATTATATAAGTTCTAACACATTTTTGGTTGTGTACGTAGGTCCGAAAAAGAATACTCTAAGGGATTTCTGGCAAATGGTCTGGCAGGAAAAGGTTTGCAAAATAGTGATGGTCACGAAACTGGAAGAGGAAAGAAGGGTATGTACATGATGTATTTGTGTTCTTATGCCTAACTGCACTCACTTTTTATAATTAGCTCTACTATGGAGTGTATTGTTTTGCCGTTCTTTATTTATCATGATTCTCGGGAAGTTTAAATGACAATAGAATATGCTTGAATAGCAGAAAACCCTTTTCTTGTCGACGCACCCGGTATTGCTTTTTTTGGAGTTTATACTATTCCCTAAGTTTTTGTTTGTTACTTTTTATATACATGTCTTATATTGATGAATGAGATTTGAACATTGGTACAATGTTGGTAAACAAACGGTTTTATCAGATAAGAAGATGGACAAACAAGTGTTTTACTTAATTAAGCCTGACCAATCGTACAGTATAGGAACCTCCTTATTTGAATATGCGTTGTTTTAAAACAATTTTTTAGTTTCTAAATATTTTGCAATTCTCCTCTTTACAACTGAACTCTATGTCAGAACTCTATGTCAGTCATTTTGTTTATAGATGTGTTGTAAATAAAATATCTGTCTTAAGTTTTTTGTAGGTAAATACATATCACATGCACTTTGAAATTTCTGTATTTTAGAAAAAATGTGAACAATACTGGCCTAAAACTGTCAATAAAGCAACAATGGTAGACAACTATAGACTAACAATGACAGAGGAGATATACCACACTATTTATGTGTACAGATTGATTATACTAAATAACAAAACGGTAATATCGATTCAAAAATTTCAGTTTACTTTTTAAAAAATAGTGAGTGTCAATGAAATAGCCATTACATGTATCCATCAAAACACCGATACTAGAAAAAAAATATTTGTAATACATAAGATAATTGTAAAAGCTAGAAAGGCGAATTCTTACCAATACTTTTTGTATTTCCGAAAAAAAAAACATTACCTTTGCAGTATTTGGCAAAATCATTCTGATTTTTTGGTCCTCAATGCTTTTTAACTTTGTACTTTATTTGGCCTTTTTAACTTTTTTATATTCGAGCGCCACTTATGAGTTTATATAGTAAGCACGGCCTATTTTTTATTCGACATCAACTCATCGCTAGCATTGTCAAAGATTACAGCAGACACTAGTTAAAAAGGAAAATGTATTGTTGTCAAGAACGTAAAGCACTCGATATGTTTTTGTCATGTTTACCCTGTTTAACCTTCCGGTGGTGGTGTTCGTGTTGCTCAGTATAATGTTTTCTATGTTGTGTTTGCATACTGTTGTTTGTCTTTTGTTCTATTTTCTTTTTTTGCCATAGCGTTGTCAGTTTATTTTCGACTTATGAGTTTGAAGTCCCATTGGTATCTTTCGCCTCTCTTTTACCTAATTAGGATAATGCTTAGCATTACTCAGCTGTTTATGTGATCGTAATTGTATTCTTACTTAAAATCTCAAATGTAAGCGTAGTCTATTCAACCATTGTGATGTCAAACAAGAATCATATATCATGCATATATTATTTTATTTCAGCTGTCCTTGCAGTAAATTAACTATTATAAAAACATTTAGGTAAACGTCTAAGATGGAAAGTATAATAACAAAAATACCGAACTCTAAGGAAAATTCAAAACGGAAAGTCCCTTATCAAATGGAAAAATCAAAAGCTCAAAAACATCAAACGAATGGAAAACAACTGTCATATTCCTAAATTGGTACAAGCATTTCCTTATGTATAAAACTGTGGATTGAACCTGGTTTTATAGCTAGCTAAACCTCTCACTTGTATGGCTGTCGCATAAAATGCTATTATATTGATAACAATGTGTGAACAAAACAAACAGACATAATAGGTAAAAATGTCAATGATAGGGGTACAGTAGTCAACATTGTGTTACAAACAAATATGTCAACAAAGTAAACATAATGGCATATAGACAAAGCACATAAGCAAAAATGAATGACAAGAATACAAAACAATTACCATTGCACAATAACACAATGGCGGGATGAACCGCCTCGTTGGACTCGTGGTAGTGAACTCATTTCAAGTAAGGGATGTCGTGGGTTCTATCTCTGGTCGCTTCGAACAAAAGCTTTGCAAATTGGTAATTGCTCCTTCTCCGCTAAGCAAGCAACTCAAAATTCTAAAATCAAAGACTAGTCGGATCGGAGGCTGAATTTTTTGTCCGGAAGGGTAATTTATCTTTCTGCAAACTTTTACATTTTAACTAGTAGGTATAAAATCAGACTTAGCGAATCGGTATAAAAAACACATTAGAATACACAGCAGACAAAAAACTAAAGTTTGTATGCGATTTCTTTCTATTTTTTGGTTGTTGTCTTATTTAATCTCCATCATCGATTTTCAATATTTCAAAATCGGTAGACAACTGTCGTTTATAATCAAATATAAGGATTTATTTTTGACACCTTCTCTATCGTTTTTGATTACGTATCTACAATCTTGTCAAATATATATAAAACAATGAGGTTGAATATGAGAATAATTTCGAACACCTTATAAATGGCATATAATTAGTAAAATTCCGAATAAGAAAATATTTGAAGAGTGTCATATCACGGTTATGTTTGACGACCAAATAGAAATAATATATGCAAACGGCTCCACATGCTAGTAAACTATGAAAAAGGAATAATGTTTAGTAGTCACGATAGGATAATAAGAGGCTGAAGAAAATAAATTACCATACTTAAAATACCAAATACTGGACTGAGGAATGATTAAATATTGAACGAGTGAGTAATATTTTGTAATTTTAGAATCAGCAAGAACGAAAAGTTCATCATTTTCATTTTACACAATGGCCGGATCATGGTGTTCCAGATAGCATCAAACTGGTCAATTTTTACAGGAAAGTGGAAAGCAAAATATGTGATAAGAATGGTCCAATGGTGGTGCACTGCAGGTATATGTAAACGTTACACCGTTTTACCAAAATAGAAACGTTAGCATGTTACATCCATATCGCTGATTTAAAAAAAAAATGTAGTTCTGTCCTTTTAGTCATTAATATTAATACAATACTTGTTTTCAAACTAACGGTAACATTCTGACGTACTTTCAGATCCATTTGTATTCGAAAATTTGTAGATGTTTTTGTTAAAACTCGCCATTTATCTAAATACACTTTTGTTTCCAAACCATCATGATACCGACTATATTTAGAAGTAAAGATTTTTCAAACCCTTAGACAGAAAAAAAACCCTGACTCAAATATAAAATCATATTACTTTTTATAACAAAAACGAGAAGGTATGATATAACTCTATCGTTTTTACCCTTAAATAGGACAATCAGAGCAAATTAAAAATCTACAAAATATCAATCTTCAGATGACCAAACGATCAGTATTTGTTTTTTTTTTTTTTTGTGTCTTTCAAATTGGAATAAATGCTTCAAACGTCTTTATTTATGCAAAAACCGCCAAGTTAGCCTCATGTTGAGAACTTGTCACCAACATTTAGATATTGGTCAATGCTAAATCAAAAAAATGATATCATGGTGCTTGAAGTTAATGTTATGTATAGACATGGATCGTTCTGGATGAAACATTGGCTCATAACAATTCTGACCAACATATATGTGTAAAAAGGCCATTTTACGTCAAATTCCGACACGTGACATCATAAGTGACCTTTATGCACTATCGCTTCCAAATTATAACAATTTGCAGGATGTTACTATTTGTGAAATAACTCTTTTTTTATCTCCACCTTTATGTTATATTCCTTGCTATTATTAATATGAAGCATGCATGTTTTAGTGCTGGCGTTGGAAGGACAGGTACATTCATTGCTATCGATGCCCTTTATGAGCATGGCAAGAAAGTTGGCTACGTTGATATTATGGAGTATGTTCAGATGATGAGGAAAGACAGAATGAATATGATTCAAACACATGTATGTAACATATTTAACAGCAGTAAAACTATATATATTTGCATTAATATATAGCCTGTACATTGTGTCTGAAGAAAACTGGTACTTAATTAAGGTATCATAAATTCATCAAAAGCTTGTTTAATTATATATATTATTTGCAAGTTCTTGATATGATGTCAATCTATTTGGTATGGTTACTTGAACATCTACTTACTGCTGATAATGCTTCCTTGAAATATCCAATGTAATGAACAGGAAAGTGATTCGTGGATTGTGATTACTTTCGCTTTTAGAGGAGACTAAAATAAACATAATTTGAAATGTGCTTTCTTCGCTGTTCTGAAATATCTTTGCTTTGTATCTACTATGTGTAAACGATAAGAAAAAATAAACAAACATATTGCTCTTTTTTTACTCTTTAACCGTATCTTTTTTAATGTATAGGGACAATATTCGATCGTGTTTGAAGCACTGCTGGAACTATTCACGGTTCCGAATACGTCCATTCAAAAGAATGATTTCTGCGAATATATACAAAAGCAAGAAAACAAGACATTACCAACAAATCAAACAATGTACAGAGAAGAGTTTCAGGTACCAAATATATTTTAGTGATGTGTTCTACACAACACGGATGATTACATCTGCATAAAGATACAGATGTTTGTGTGAGAATAGTTGCACCAAAATGTGGCTACCAATTTTTAAGTTTCCTTATCATATTTGTGTTGTGCGCAGCATTTGTAAGAAAAATTGATTACACCATGATAGTCATCAGAAGTACGTTCATCTTCATTATGTTTATTGCTGAAATGAGGAAAGTCGCAAGATTAAGATTTAAGTGATTTATGTCATGAACATCAAAATTATAAGAGCATTTTGTTAAGGCAGTACTGATTTCCAACACTAAAATGTAATTGTTTTACTGAATAACTGTTTCAACTTGTCCAATATGTCCATATGCCAAACTTTTTTATTTCGAAAATCCTTGATCTATTGTTTTTATTGAGAACAACAATGTATTAATAATGAAAACAACTTGCAGATAATGACAATTAAGATATATCTTATTCATTATATTGTGTAAGACGTGTTTTGAATTTATATCAAGAAAGTATTAACAAAAATACCGAATTCCAAAGTAAATTTCAAAACGGTGAGGTCCATAAAACCGGACAAAATAAAACGGTAGACTATATCAACTAACGGAACGAATGGAAAACAACTGTCACGAATATATGTTTTAACAATTCAATGCATGGTAGATATAATAATATCTGTGTTTATATGTGTTGGACATGTTAGCTAGTATCTAACAAATGTCTAACCTTAAAAATGTTTGCCTATGCATTATTATCTGCTTTGTTTAAAACAACATGTATGTGTCCGCGTGCAGATTTTGACAAATTAATTTTGATATCATTACAATTACAAGCAACCTGAACACAAGATGACCCTAGTCAATTTCTTTTGATTTTAAGTGTGTTGTTTTAATAATCGCTGGCCTTGTTTCGGTGTAAGTATAGTACCGAAAAACGAACTGGGAACTCGTTAGCAGGTAGTAATCAAAGTCACCGTCCGCGGCAGATGAATAAGGCAAGGAAGGTGTAGATAATTTGCCTTCTGACATATCAGAAGAAACGGGTAACACATGTTTAACTTGTGTATAACTTTTGGTTGTAGTGGCTCATCTCATATAATCCATAGTCTTGGGAAACCCCGGTGTTGATACTTTACCAGCAAAATACACGGGGAATTGCCTGATTTGAAAGACACCTCCTTGACATTTACACATCAGTGACCTGATGTTCAGATAGTCAATTGATCTTAGTTATCTAACTGACAATCGCCGAACAGCTTCATGATTTAACATCTTTTTCATTTAATACTTTAGAGATTGCGAACTTTGCGGCCATCATATCCTTCTAGTGAGTTTACTGCTGCAAATTGTAAAGAAAACAAATCAAAGAATTCTACAACAACTGTTCTTGCACGTAAATACACATTTTCATTAACTAACGCTTCCTAAATAATGTGTTGTCGCGATTATAAAGTAAAGTAAATATCGTTGGAATAACAGGATTTCGGAAAACTCACATGAAATATATCATTGATAGATAAATCATTCAAGTATCTTAGCAATGCGATGTGTGCATAAATTAGGAACATATATATTTAACCATTTGTATGATACAAATATATTAAAAAAATTGCTAAACAAAATGTAAATCTGGTTTAACTTAAATGTGAACAGTTAAATGTTACAATTTATATGTTGATTATTAATAAAATAACCAAACCAAACACAAACACGCCGTCTTTGTTTATTGCAGTTTGATATGGTATCTATATATTGATGTATTTAAGAGTTACGAAACAAACGGAATGACCAAACAGAAACCTGAATGAAAGAAAAAAGTGCAAAAAAATGATTCAAATCTCGATATTCTCGATCAGGCTTCCTAGGACACCTAGTACTACATTTATTTTTTATAACTGCATGTTCATCATTACCTCTGTAGACACAATGTTACGCTAGCAAAAAACAAAACTTATATATTGATTATTTGTGTCAAGGAGAACGAAAACAACTGATGTGTTCCAATAGTCGTAGCTACAATACCTTCCCTTTTTTCTTGATTGTGGCAAAAGGTCTGAAACAAACAAAACTGCATGAAAGAAAAATGTGACACAATTTAGATTCAAATCTAAAATTATTTTACCTTGATTATAATATCATCGATTGAGACTTAGTACTGAATTTTTACTTATTATTAACATGACGGTTGCCACATGCTGTTGACGATCGGCGCACCCTCCTTCCGTACCTGAGACCTTACTAGTTTCCGGTTGGTTTGTTGTTGCTCAGTGTTAAGTTTTTGTATGTAGTGTTTTACAAACTGTTGTTATTCTGTTCCTCGTTTTTCGTTATTTGAGATGGTGTTGTTGGTTTCTTTTGGAAACAGCTAGTGTTGTCTTACAAATGATGTGACTGTCTTCTAAATATGCGAGCGAATGCAAGACTTTCACTTATAACTGTGTATTATGTTACAGTTGTATTGTGATTTTTGTCAAATTATATCTTGCAGATGACAAATATAGACCTTACTTAATGTCTTATGGTAAAACCAGAAGTGACTATATCAATGCCGTTATAATTCCAGTGAGTAAATGTTTAAATCAAACATTCTTTAATCGTGTTTATACTACTAGTATTTGAAGTTTCTACAGTAGCACATGTTCCAGTTGACCACTTTAAATTCAGATTAAATTACATGTAGACTCATAAACATTGTTTTTTTCCTACATTTAACTTATTGATGCGTGTATAGCTATTTGTACCACATTATAGTTCAGATAGTTATAGTTGTTTGCGTTTTTCTTTTCTTCTGATTTGCAAACGTGATTACGTACACATTATCTATTCGTACATCATGTACATGGCATAGAGCGTCATTTGCATGTCTAAATCCGATGAATGCTTGCCCTAGTTGCTTAAATTTTGGCGTTATATGAACTTTCATTTAACGAAGAAACATGGCATTAAATTTGATTAGGCAGTTCATCAATTGCAATGGCCATCTGGTACAGTATTGTACAAATGTTGTATTTGCGTATCAACAGAAAGCTCCATATAAATGCATTTATACAAAATGTATAACAATATAAGCTTAATATTAAATATTGTATTGATTTTTTCTATTCACTTGAATTGTATTTGCTTATATTAAAAATTTTAATGTTAGTCCTTTTATAATTCATTCATTTTATCACAGGGCTATTCAGTTGATAGTAAAATGTTTGTAACACAGTGCCCGCTTGTTGAAACTGTAATTGATTTTTGGACAATGATGTATGATCACAGTTCCAAAATTATTGTTTTGTTGGATCCCGGAAATAAGGTGAGCTTTATTCCTGTTCGTTTCGATTACATGAGGTATCTAGTTTATAGTTATTTAAAGATAGGAATTTTGCTTAGCTGTATTTAGTTAGTCATCAATTCGATGTCAAATCGTGTCAAATTTTATCCAAAAAAGAATTGATTCGCATCATAACCTAATATATATGGAAGAAGACACTATTTCTAACAGAAAAGCATAGGGACATTCGCAAAAATAAGATCTAGATAATTTTATTTTTGTCATTGAGTTTTTTTTTCTAATCTATGGGAGGTTTGAAAAAACTATTGCAGCCAATATTTAAAAAAGAACATTATCAAGGTACTATAATCGATTAAATATAAAATGTGATATAGATATAAGTTGTCGTGAATGTGTTACTCATAGAATAACTAATCACAGAATTCAAATATAGAAAAATATTCAACGTGTGACCGAACAACACATTAATTCACGATTGCGCGTAGCACATGAGTTAATTATCAGTGTTGTTGTGTCACAAGTTGAATATTTCACGATATTTGAATTCTTGGATTAGTTATTCTTTTTATTACATTGGCCATGGATTATTAAATAAAAATAAAGCAGAAAATGAAAGGAACTATATCGTTTTCTATACATGCAACATCATCGACAACGTCGTGACGACACCTATTGTTGTATGTCGTCAGAGGAGTGAACATGTGTAATCATCTGTTTTTATTTCACTGGGAAATCAATGTTATTCATTGCAACCAATGTAATAAACTGTAATATTCTCTTGAATGATTACTGAGCAGCGAAATTGACATATAGTATTGCGATGTCGACTAAGAAGAACAGAACGCGGAAAAAATGTCAGTTTTTTGTTGTTATAACTTTATAAATTAAGGCTACATATATCTTTTCGCCAGGGTGCTCCATTGTGGTTAGAGAAGAAAGAAATGCTACAGTTTGATGATTTCCGTATTGTCAAAGAAACGGAAAATGCACAAGGAGAATTTCCGCTTACTTTGAACCACACGGTAGGAAGAAGCTTAAGGTTTAATATGAACACAATGGCAAAGAAAGTAACGAGTAAAAAATAATGCGGGTACTAAGATATTAAAAAGTAAAAATAGAGAACAGAGGGCAAACAAAAAAATGAATAAATTATAACAAAATTACCGAACTCTAAGGTAAATTAAAAAAGGGAAAGTCCACAAAAACAGACAAAATTAAACGTTATTAACTAACGGAACGAGTGGAAAACAACTGTCATATTCCTGACTAGCGAATAATGGGAAAGAGCAGAGGAAACAATGACCACGAAAAATAAAGAATACAGATAAATGGGGTGCTAAAATATCAGAAAATAAATAAAATAAAAAATAATGGGATCCCAAAATTTAACAAAATAAAGAATAGCGCGCCAAAAAAAGAATAGAGGAAAATAAATGCAAGAATACGGAAAAGAAGGTTCCTCAATCCGGACCCTCAGATACAAAGAATTCACATGATTTTATATATATAACCATGAATAATGGGTATAGTGCGTTTTTCTTCTAACGATTTTAGTCCTAAGAAAAGAAATGCATTATACCCATTAATCAACTGTATTGTATTGCGGCCAAACGAAACAATTGTGTTAGTACTAGTATTTAGGCCACATTTAAATCATCTCATTTAACTATTCTAATAAATGTCTTACGTGAAACTAAATAAAATGGTGTCTATATTTTACAAAACAACGTTTTTAGTCTGATGTACATTTACAGAAAAATAAAGAACAAATTTCAATTAAAGTATTCACTGCTGAGGATTGGACTATCACTAGTGCAACACCATCACCAGAGTATATGTTAGATCTTCTGCATCGTGTACAAAATTGCTGGGAAACGCAGAAAGGCCCTATCACTGTAGTATGTAGGTACGTCATTAAAAACCTGGTAGATGAGTTCCTATGGTGAACATTAAATAATGTTATAATTAGTTGTTTCCTCAACTATGGTTTGACAATATTAGGTCCAATTTGTTATGCATAATTTTTTCTCCATATTGTAAAAGGACGTTAATAAAATCCATAGTCACAAATTTTAGATGTATCAAAGAAAGAGGAAGCATATACCAAAGGGGCAATCACAGATTATATGTGAAAAACAGACAACACTTTGTCAAGAAAAAAACAAACGAAAACAAAACACTACGCATTAACTTAACGATTCGTCAACACAAACACCAACGTACATGCATCGCACGTGAATTCTGGTTATCCTAAAGAGTAAGTATTCTTGAAACATTAATGGCAACCTCGTATTAATGTAAGACAGTTGTAGTTTATTCACCAATTCCTAAGAATAAGCATTGTAAGATTTAGCTATATGCAATCCTGAACGACAGTGAACATGATCACCATAAAATTATTAAACATTGTTATCAAATAATAGTAATAATAATTATCAGTTCATGACATAATTTTGCAAAGGTTTCTTATTATTTCAGTGATGGCTGTAGTAAGAGTGGGTTATTTATAGGATTGCGATTAGTTTTGGAAAAAATGCAGATAGATGAGGAAATCGATATTTTTCAAGTAGTAAGAGAAATTCAAACAAGGCGACCAGAATTCCTTGATGAATTTGTAAGTGTGTAGTGAAGAAAAATTACACAATCCCGATGGCATGTATCCAACATCAAATGCTACAATACTAATACGTTCCCATCAGCTAACAAAGAAATATGCTGATGAATATAAAAAGATTTAGATCTAGAGTTATGTTATGGCGTATAATTTTAAAAATGGTGTTAGTTTGCTTACTTGCATTTTCAAACGATAGAATAAACAACATCAACAAACAGCTACATAGATAAGCTAGAATTTACATGTAGTCTTATATCTGCAAAAAAAATGAAATGAGAATAATAAAATATTCAATTTCACTGGAAACAAAATACTTCAATCATATTAATCGCAATATGAAAGTTTAAACAATCCAAATATCACTTCTGTAAATGCCCCTCATGTTTAACTTTTAATCGAGTGCTTCAAATATATAAACGTCTCGTTTACATTTTATGACTAATCAACTCTTGACAATAACACTTCAAGAATTATGACGCTATGGAATTTGTACCATATGTATTTCTTTCTTTGCGTCATTCAAAAGTAGAAAACGCAGTTTATAACTTCTCTGAAATGTTCTTCTTAATTTCTATATTCTTAGCTTCCAACTCTGCATGACTACATACGTACATTGAGAATAATCTAACAAATGTGTCTGAATTTTCCAATGCCAAATTACAAATAAATCGATCCTAAATGATGTTGGAAAAACACACTGACGAGTGTCACAAAATGATGTTTCCTTGAAAAACAACTGTAAAATGTAAATGATAATTATGAACTAAATTTTAAGACAAAAGTAACGAAATTAAGTTTTTCATTGTTTACGTTGCATTCTATTTGCAAATTTCCAGTAGCTCATGAGCTACTTGAAACAATAGTTTAAAGCATGTGTTCATTATCATAACTTCCTTCATAGAGATAATATATATGAGACACTAAACCAGAGATCAAAGATACCAGGCTAATTGTGTCGTCTAAAAAAAACTCCTGAGTGCCACCAACATTAATACAGTTGAAAGTCTAAATCATTTATGAATTTCAAAGCCAGAAATTCAAAAGTCTTAAATCAAATACATAGTAAACCCGCAATTAGAAAACAAAATTAGTTTATCGAAGACCTAACATTCCTCAAACTTGAACATTGAGTTTACAGAAAGAGATTGCATCAATAAATATCAAGTCATCACTTTAGCAGATAAGATAGTTATATATTTTTGTCTATTTCAGGATCAATATGAATACTGTCATCAGTGTATTAGAGTCCTCCTCGGAGGTGATTCTCGAGATTCACAGTATGCGAATATCTAGTGAAGTTAAAACGTTCTGTTATTTTCTATGTATTTATTTGTCATTTGTAATATATGTATTTTACTTTTAGGTTCTGAGGTAGTGCTTCCACATTTTGCTTTAAACGACAACATACAAATCGCAAACATGTATTGAAAAACGGGAAAATGATATAACCGTATGCTTTTTTTAAATTCTGACGGAGTTTTATTTTACAAGTGCCAAATATACGTACTTCGATCAGTTTTAAATAAGTAAATCATACAAAAAAGGGATCAAGACGCCGAGTATCTGTTGTCCTAATTACAACTCGGTTAAGTATCCCCATGTGCAGTGGTTTTGTAATTGTTAAGAAGAGAAAACTATTTCTAAAGAAATCTTACTTAAATCTTATAAATTATAATTATCAATAATATTTGAACATTACATAACTACTGCCTGTTTCAATTAACAAATTTAACACAAAAGATGTAAAATAGTCGAGAGAGATAATATAATGCCATGACTTTGCTTGAATCATTTTGCTTTCTTGATGCAGTTGTTAAACATTTTTCTTGGTAAATAATTATCTCGCCATTGTTTTGATGTTACATAACTATATTACCTTGATCTAGAACACTTGATTTTCAAGCCGTGGATTTAATCGTAATGTTTCATGTCAAACTGTACCGTTATATTGATGTACCACATGTACACAAAACAAAAGAGTAGATTATAGGTATCGTATATATTTGAGCAGGCTACAAAGGACAATGCTACGGTCATTTGATCTTTATACAGTTTTAACATATGGTTAAAAACATCAATCGTTGAACCATGTAGTACTTTTAAGTAATCCTATTGATATTTGTTTTTGTTGATGTTCATGCCATTTTTTTTTTTTTGTATAACTTCATAAATACGTTAATAAAATATTTTTATACTGTTTTATTTCGTGTCACTATAAAACATAAATTCATGAAACACAAGAGTATCAGAATCAGTAAAGATGACAAATACATTATCCCAGATTCGGTATCTATTACTTTATGCATTCTGTCACTCAATAAACAACATTTCAATGAGTGCTTATATATCCCAGTGAACTTGGAGATTAAGGATACTGTTGAAAGTAGAATGTCTGCGTCATATCTTGATAATAAACTCGATATTGACACAGATTGAAGACTGCAAACTAGAATCAATGACAAACATGATGATCTCAACTTTCCAATTGTCAACGTCCCATGTTCAGGAGTAAAATACGCTCGTGCATGTTCATACTACATGGACTCCATTAACATTGGTGTGCTCCTTTCACAAAAACTGCTCTAGCAAAGTAATGAAATAGAACAACTAAAATAAACACTACAGTCACCGTTATTATTATATTTTGTGCTGTTATAAATCTCTATTAACTTGAAATATCTTTATTTTCAAGTAATGGCCATGAGTTTATTCTGGAGTATATAAAATATTTTCTCACTACAAAATGTTTGATAGTTAAATATTTCTCATTTAACAAAAACATTTTTTAATACAACAATTTTCATGCAAAGCATAAATAGTTGACAGTCACATCCTACATTTTAATTTTACACATTTAAATTCTTTAGCAAACCATGGACACAAAAGAAACACTTTCAAAACAACCACTGTCTTCTAATAAGGAAGCTTTTTTTTCTTGTATTTGTTAATGTCCAAACTTTGAAAATGGTGAGTTACAAGGAAATTAATTTGCATTTCAATCATAGCTGTGTTTTGTGAAATCAATTTCATATATTTCAATATAAGAAAATGAGTATTCTTAAAAAATATAATGCTTACAAGCTAACGTAGTGAACTTTTTTTAATACGAACAAGAAGTATCACATGTATCAGGATAGATCACATATTTTTAAATTGTTACCAGATTCCAAGATACATCTACATGTATGGTAGTCACAGTTTACAAAACATTTTTTGTGTTGACAAGAGTGCACGAGTTGCAATGTCTCACCTGCTTTACTTATCATGATTGATTTTATGTTGATATTCCTAAAGATAAAGTTTTGCTTCAAGTATCACATAAACTTAATATTATCAATGATCCATCAAAACGAGGTCAAGGTTAGATAAACCAAGTCACCTTTATAATTATTGCATACATTAGATATTGTTGCCCTATAGCATGTATCGTATACAAGAAGCAGATCAAACCATGAAAACTAAATATTGACCAATAAACCATGAAAATGGTGTCAAGTTCAGATGAACCCTGGAAGACAGACATGTACACTTAAAAATCTTTTCAAACACCAAATGTGGTTATCATATTGCTTATAGTATCTTAAATGAGGACTTAACATTGACTAATATACTTTGAAAATGAGGTCAAGGACAAATGATACCTGTCAGACAGACATGTTCACCTAACAACCATTCCATACACTAAATATGGTTTACCTATTGCTTTAAGTATTAGAAAAACAGACCAAAACACAAAAACTTAACATTGCCTAATGGCCTACTGCTAACAGCATCTGAGAAACAGCCCTAGTCAGGTATCTCAAACCTTGCTCACTGGTCCATGAAATAAGTTTGGGGTCAGGTGAACCCTGTCTGATGGACATGTAGACTTTGCAAGGGACCCATATACCAAATATAATTATAGGTATGCTATTTTGGCAATCACTGAACCATGAAAATGAGTCAAAGGACAGCAAGACATGTGACTGACGCACATTTTGTAAAATAAGGTATCTGAATACAAGGTATGAAGCTACAGTCTTCTTCCTTCTTAAATATAAAGCTTAGTACTAACTATAGTTTATCATATGCTGACGTCAAAACTATATTTCGCCTTCTGTCACTTTCGTCGCAGGCGAGACAAACACGTTATTTGGTTGTTGCGTTGTTTATGAATACTCCATATTTCTCCTGCAATATCTTTAAAGGATTTTTAGAATAACACTATTATTATTTAGTAATGTTGAAGTACTTCATTGGTGACATTCAGTTGATTGATCAAACATAATTCAAATGAGTACAAAATTGTGCATACATCATTTTTCCGTTTCTAGTCTTAGAGCAGGATCTGCTTACCCTTCCGGGGCACCTGAGATCCCCTCAGATTTGGGGGAGGGGGGGGGGGGGGTTGGGGTTCGTGTTGCGCAGTCTTTAGTTTTCTTTGTTGTGTTCGGTGTACTGTTGTTTGTCTGTTCGACTTTTTCTTTTTTAGCCACGGCGTTGTCAGTTTATTTTTGACTTATGAGTTTGAATGTCCCTTTGGTATCTGTCGCTTGTCTTTTAGAAATATTTGCAAGTTTAATTTTAAGTTATAAGGCCATAATTAGAGTTATAATTTTTAGTGAAAGTGTCATTTCTAGAAATCTATGTTCCGATCCCTTTTAATTGAAGTGCAAATCTGAATTATTAAAAAAAACATATTTGCCTGATTTTAATTATCTGGTTCAAGGTGATACATGATAGGTTGGCAGTTATCTCACCCAGTTAGTGAGACAATTTTACAGTTAAACCCTATAATCAACATTCCTAATTGTGTCAGATCTTTCAGACAATATATAATGTGTTCATGGTGTACGATTGTTTTGTTTGGTTGCTGTCTCGTTGAGCTATATCTCCTTATAGAAATCTCCTTTTATCCAGAAAAGACTTTTGAAATAGCTACTGATTAGCATTTGGATGGACAAGAAATGCCAAATGATGTAAAATAATTCAAGTGGCCATAGGGTCAGGTAGTGGGTGAGATAATAGTTGAGGGAAAGGCACCTGCATTTACCACAACTGCCACCTAATATTATGATGTCAAAAATGTGCTTTATCATGTTTGCAGCAAAATTCGTCACATGCAGCAAAATAAATAAATTAAAACAGCTGTACAAAAAATTTTGATTCATTTTTTGATTCATTTTTGATTTTTTTCTTCTTTAAAATGTTCAATAGATCAAAGATATTAAACATTAATTGACATTGTATATTCCAATACTGATATATAAATAGTAAAGTGTACAATATGTACAATCGTTAACTGATCAACTCATTATTTTCACTATTTTTATATCAATATTTGTTTTTAAATTCTTCGTCAGTGTTCTTTAAATGACTCGATATTTTGTATTCATCATTGGGACATGTGATAATGTAGGTCCTTTAGATCTGGTATTTTTATACGGATTTTGACACCACTGCATATAGCTCCCAAGTACAGTTGATTTCGGCTTCTAATGTGGATTCTGACAGCAAATTGCATATAGCTACAAAGTATCGTTGATCTAGGCTTCCCATGTGCATTCTTAATTTACAGCACTTTACATATAGTTCCTAATTGCAAGTAAAGTTGATATTGGCTTATAATATGAATGACTGTACTTTGCATATTGTTCCCAAGTAAAGTTGAATATTCCAGAACATTTTACAACAAATCACTTCTTCCTATCAATTGTCTCATATGAACCAGCATTCAATATTTGAAGCCTGAAATTAAATTTCAGAGTAATTCTGTCAGAACAATCAACTATGATTGATATCTAACTGCATTATGTTATTCATCTTTTAAAAAATGAAGAGGTTATGGTGATGATTTATGAGCAAACAAAATAGAATTACATCTATAAATTATGATTTTTTTTATCACTAACACCTCTTAACCTTTCCAAAATTCATACTTCTTAGGCCAGACTGCTTAGGTGCCAGGGACAACTAATTTCTCCATCAAATCATGAAATCCAGCTACATTTGTTATCCTCATCAACCAATGTTGGGGTTATTTGTACTTTTTTAATAAAGTTGAAACACATTGTTTGTCACTGAACAAAACAATGCCTCTTGACACACATGTTAAAGTGCCTTATTATGCTGTTTTAATAGCAAATGAATAATGTTAAAACAATGCAAAAATAATACCTTAAAGTTTAATGTTTTATTTAGGTATAAAATGCATATATAATTGTATGCTATTCATGAGTTCTTACTGTAAACAGGACAGGGCCAGGAAGATTAAGCTTAAACTCAAATCTAAGTGTTATTGGATCCATAAGTCAAATGCGTGTACCTAGATACTGGACCTGATGAAGTTTGTCTACACCAAAGGGGGGTAAATTCTAACAAATAATGAACACGACAAATTGATCAATAAAATATATTGCCTTATACTGTAGGGGGTTATAATTTACAAATTAGGCCATTTCTATTCTTGTCAACAAATTAGACAATCTTACTCTTTGCTGGGACTATTATATATACTAGTATAGTAGTCCAAGTTCTTTGGGATCGATATTTTGCCACATGTTAAATTCACAACTTGCCGGTTTAGAATTTTAGAAAATGTTCCTCAAAAAGTATTCATGTTTTTATTTTTTCGTGGTACTGAATTGGCTGCCTTTAAACTCAAAATCTGTGTTTTTCTTTGCAATGACTTTACCTACATCATTTTCTATTCGTCAGTCTGTTATTCAGTTACATGGTCGTATTTATCAGCGTTGGTCAACAACGGCGACACTGTAATTTCTGTTGTCCGATTTTGGCGCCAAATTAAAGGGTAACAACTCGTGCTGACAAAATTACCGTATTTCATCAGAATAATAAAAATTTCGCTTTGTCATTACAAACAATCATACGTTAAACAAATGAATATTGAGATATCGTCCATTGATATAACTGCACACATTATTTTATTAAAGCGATAAAAAAAAAATTCACAACAAAGTTATTAATGGAGTGCATTGAAATCAGACCTTATCGGATAGAGGTGTAAAACAAAAGTACATAACTTTTTAAAAGCCTGGTGACCCCCATTTTATTTTACCTGAACATTGTCGAAAAGTTCATAGCTATGATATATCATTTTTTGTTAAATTCACCTGGGTAATTTTACAAAAGAAAGATTTAACCAATATTTTAGCCTTAAAGGGGGATTAGCTACGAGATATGATAAAAAAAATAGAA